AACCAGTAATCCGGAAATGATGCTTAGCAAGCTCGACGAGGAAAATGAATGCGATGGAGGACCTCGCCTGTCGAGAAATAGTTTGAAAGACAGGTTTAAATATGTACGCATGCGGGAAGAGGCTGGTATTTCCCTCAACCCTGATGACGATGATAAGGCGTCGACCTTGGGAGTTCTGAGCCCTACTGGCGAGAGCTATCCAGATGTGAACTTTCCCTTGCCTCCGCCATCCCCCTTACCGCCAAACCCGGACACAAACCTGGCCCCTGGAACGGTCTCGGGCGTGTCTGCTGGCCCTTCTACCATCGCAGACGCTCAGGTTGATTGGGACCTTTGGCAATCCGTTGTTTATGAAGGCCCTGCTGCCGTCGCGAGAACAAACCCAGAGGAGCTCAACAAGGCGATTGTTACAGGCATCCCTAATGTGATCCGGGGGGTAGTATGGCAAGTACTTGCCCAGAGTAAGAGCGAGGATCTTGAAAGGGTGTACAGAGAGTTGCTGGCTCGAGGCTCTGAAAAGAACAAGGACCGTAACAGCAACGCTACCTCTGTCAGTATTTCGAGCAACGGCAACTTGAGCTCCGAAAGAGACGCGGTAGCCTCTTCGGCGTCTTCTATCCAGTCAGAAGTATCTGGCGCTAGTGGCAAGAAGGCATCGCCGCCATCTTCTGAGCCGTCAGAAGCAGCCCTAAAGGCCCAAGCCTTAGCTGCAGCTGAGAGGAAACGCAAAGAAAAGGAAGACGCAGCATCGCTTCAAAAACTAGAGAGGGCTATTAAAAGGGATATCGGCGCCCGAACAAGCTTCTCAAAGTATGCGGCGGCTGCTGGTCTGCAAGACGGCCTATTTGGTGTCTGCAAGGCCTATGCACTCTTCGACGAAGCTGTTGGGTATGCTCAAGGAATGAACTTTTTGATTATGCCCCTCCTTTTTAACATGTCTGAGGACGAGGCGTTCGGTATACTTGTCCGGCTGATGAACCAATACAAGCTACGCGACCTATTCATTCAGGACATGCCAGGCTTACATATGCATCTATATCAGTTCGAAAGGCTACTTGAGGATTTCGAGCCCGCTCTTTATTGCCATTTGCACCGTCGTGGGATATCGCCCCATTTGTACGCGACGCAATGGTTCCTTACTCTTTTTGCCTATAGGTTCCCTCTGCAGCTCGTACTAAGAATCTATGATCTTATCTTCTCCGAAGGCCTATCTGCGATTCTCAAGTTTGGTATTGTCCTTATGCAAAAGAATTCATCGGCGCTGCTCAAGATGACAGATATGGGCCAATTGACGAACTTCCTAAGGGACAAACTTTTCGACGTGTACATTGATCAGTCCCCGAGCGCTGGCAGCATCCTCGAGAATGGCTTTTTCGGTAGCAGTTCTTCAAGCGCTGATAAGGAGGTCTACCGGGCAGATCAATTAGTCCAGGACGCATGTGAGGTGAAGATTACACCTGAGATGCTCAAGGCTTACACGACCGAGTGGGAAGAAAAGACTAAGACTGAAAAGGAGAAAGAGAAGGAACTTGAATATCTGAAGAATACAAACTTGAGCCAGGCCATCAAGATCCGGAAGCTCGAAGAACGCCTGGAAGCGAGCGATCGTGAACAGGCAACCGTGACAACGGACCTAGTTCATACCAAGATCGAAAACGAAGAGCTCAAAGATCAGAACGAAAGCTTGACAGGCCAAGTCAAGGAACTTCGCCACGTCATTGAGCAGCAACCTGCGGAGCTAGAAGGAGCATGGAAGCTCGAGCGTGAGGACTTAATGAAGAGAAACGAGAAGGTGCACGAAGAGAATAGAAAACTCGAAAAGGAGCTCCAAGAGCTTGAAGAGGAATTGGTTCAGACTAAGATGCGATACGCTGAAGTATGTAATCTCCTATTTCCATTTGATCCCTGAACAACCTTAACTAACCATTTGTAACAGATCAACTCCCAGCACGAGACCCTTCAAAAGAGGTGGGCCGAACTCAAGCGGCAGTTTGCCTGAGCTGGTCCTCTCCCTTGATCATGCTCCCGCTGACGACCTCCCGGTTCACCCACATTCCCATTCTTGTACAAAGTAGCTTCTACGGTTTGTTGTAGTCAGACAATTCACCAGGAGGAAAAGGGAGCAGGGACAAGCAAGCACATACATAGTTTAAGGCTATCCATACCTTGCCATACCATGTCTGGGTATCTACGAAGTCAGGTTTTATCATTTTGTCAAGCGTGTCCCTTTCTATCGGGTAAAAAGCCGCTATTAGCATAGGCGTCTAGGCTAAGCTCAATCAGTCAGCCACCAGGCGACGAAAATTTCTTCTTGTTGTCCCTTTCTTCTCCGTCTTGTCATCATTCATCGGTGCCCATCATCTTCGGTAATTGGGAGGGGCTTTTCCTACCACGTCGCAGGGGGTAGGTAGGCAGGCATATAACGCATTAGAGAGGAAGAACGAGATAGCTGCTTGTGCCTCCTGAGGGGGGAGCACCACATCACATCACTTCGCATCATATCATATCTGTCATATCACTTCGTCGGTGGATAGGGGACGGCGGCATTGCATTGCATGCTTGCGTGCACGTAACGTGGGGAGAGTAGCTTACTAGGGAGAAAGAGAAAGAGAAAGAAGAACACGTTTTCGGACAGGCGGATAGCCTGAGGTCCTGTGGAAGAACAGAACAGAACAGATGAGATGAGATGAGAAGGGGAAGAAGGAGAGGAATATTGTATAGAATCAGAGCTAGGCAGTAGTTCGATGAATACCACATTCTGTCGTAATGACCATTCAGTTCCTATTACCGGTGTCGTATGTTGCTAATGTGTTATATGTGTATATCTTGAGTTTAGCTAAAGTAGGTGAGTTTTAGGCGCTGTAGACGGGGATACGAGGAGATATAGATGGCTGAGACTAGACGACTAACATAGCCGGACGGAAACTCTTCTCTTAGGGTCTATATAGCCTAGGTTAGGAATCTAAGAGAGTTGACCATTATGTGCAAGACATCTGAGTACTACAATGTTAATGTCACATTAGGATAGGATACCATGGCTTAAGAGGTTAGCATCATGGTATTTCGGATAGCTAACTCGAATCAAACATCTTTAGGAACGAGGTTCAAATCACATACTGAAAAACCAGCACATATTAGCGGCGATTACGCTTATTATCAAAGCAAGGCAAGATCACACAGTAACAGTAAAGAGTATAGCATTTCACATAATCGTGACTATCGTGGCAATTGACACTGCAAGCCTCTCTGGTGATCTTTTATTGATCAGAACCTAGCAAACGCGATCCCTTTCCGTTGCCGAAGATGAATAGAATCCATGAACACCGGTGCCATTGTGCGTGGTATTTTGCAGTGCCCTCATAACCTGACCCTCCGCCATCCTTCATCCGCTCACCGTCTACTTGTGTAGCTTACGCTGGTAGAAAGCCAGCTCCTCGCCCTCGAGGATGTATCCGTCTGCACGGCCGCTCTGGCCGGGTCGGCTGGCAATAACGGCGTATAGACGACCAGCCTCGAACTGCTTCTCCAGAACACCCTCAACCTTGCCGGTGGCGGCGTATCGGGCAGCCTGCTTGCGCTCGACGGCCTTGCTCTTCTTCACAACTTCCTCCTCCTTGCCAGACTTCTGCTGGCGTCTGCGGCCGAGGGACTGGCCGTAGTGGCTCTCGTACCATTGACGGAAAGGAGCGGCATCGATCTGGACAACGGCGGACTTGGTAAGGGTGTTGGTTCGGACCAACTCGTTGTTGGAAGGGTGGTAGGCAACGACGATGACACGGGTCTTGCGGGTGACACCCTCGGAAGCCCAGGCAAAGTTACCGGTGTCGAGACGCAGGGCACGGTACTTGTGGTTGCCGCCGCGAGTGCGGACGGTGTGGATTCGCTTGGGGCCGATACGGGTGTTGGCCTCTTGTCGGCCGGCCTCGAAAGCGCGCTTCTTCCCTGGTGAGGAGGTCAGAACGTATGATCATTGTACAAAAACATGATGCATACGGGCTTTCGATATATGGGGCGTATCTCGAAAACACGGTTATGCGATGGTCTACTACGTACGGTAAAAGGCGCGCTTGGCACCAGTGGCGGAGCGCTTGTGGCGAGAATCGCGAGAGATACCCATGATTGCGGTTTCTGGTCAGAGAATTGGGTGGTTAGCCTCGGAGGGTGTTAAAGGGTTGAAGGGTTGATTAATGAAAAATTTGGCGACGACCAGTGAGAAATCTTGCAGCAGCAAATTCAACAGAGACAATACTGTTAAATACTTTGCAAGATCAAGCCACTGATCATATTAGCAATGGGAGACATACCTGACTAAAGCAGTTGGCAATCGAGAAGGGAATTGAGGGTGGTGATGAAGCGCTCGGAGTTTGAATTTCGCGGGAATGGAAAAGTTGAAGGAGGCTCACGAAATTCAGTCAAAGTAAATTTGGAAAGTTTAGTGTGGGCTCGCCAAAATTTCGGAGGGGAGGTACTTTGATACCTAGGGCTTTTTCATTTGGCCTGTGCACATATACTTAGGTAATCATTGGTGAATTGGGGAAGTGGTCAATGCGGATTTAAGGGGAAGCTGGAAGCTGCAAGTGCCAAGTGCAGGGCAACATGCAGACCCAATATTCACGTGCATTTCAAGACGTCCAACATTCTCATGTAAGTGCAATTTATTCATCGATTGGTCCATTCTGTCTGTTCTGTCTGCAATGCTAAGAAATGTCAAGGTAGTCCCTTAATATCAAGCAGGTAGCAAAGGCTTATCCTGCAAAGTACGTAATGTACAAGATCCAGTACCTAATTCATAAAAGTCACACGACCTATCATCATCTCTGCGTCTGCTCCATGTGCCAATAGAATCTCATATGCATCGTAAGATGCTACCCTATTCCGCCGCATAAACTTGTTTCAGTTTCTCATATCAATCTTCTTCCCTACCAGGGTATGGAGATCCTTGGCAAATAATCAAAGGAAATAAAGGCAATACCAATGAAACGACCACTATCCGGAATATTTTAGATCACGGGTTGTTCCTCATCGATATCTTGAAGGAGCTGCTGTGTGAAGCCAGTAAGCTCCTCCGTCTCGAATTCCGGGATTTTCATGTCTCCCTCCCAGACTATGTCCCAATACTCTGGTCTAGTCATGCCATCGAGGGTAGGCTCAAGCGCCCGGTGAGCAATTCTGCGAAACTGGCGAGGGACCAGAGGGCCGAAGGCAGGGAAGAGCTTGTATCGGTCGACCATGTCCTCGAATTGGTAGTCAACCTCCTGAGTACGAGGCAAAGGCATCTGTCCCTGATAATACTCATATTCCCATCGAAGTGGCCAGTCGATAGGCACGAACAGGTTGCGATTCTCATGCCAGACGGAAACGCGCGAGCTGACCAGGCTAAGGTTATCCGTGTTGTGAATCTCAAGCAACTTCGGAGACATTCGAACACGGGGAGCACAGGCTTGGCTATGTTTATGGCTGATGGAGTTGCTGGGGTCTTCCATCATCTTGATGATCGCAAGCTGCTTAGCTTTCACGGTGTCATTCTTGAACTTGAGATACTCGTCGAATGTTGCAGGCACAAACGGCGATTCGATGGACTCATGACGCCAGTAAGCTTGGATCTTGTCCCATCGCTGTCGCTCAATGTCTAGTAGGCTTTTGGATGCCTTGGCCGAAGACTCGCCGGCATGTCCATTGGCCAGATAAGAGTTTGGAGGACTTCCGCTAGCGACGGGGAGAGCAGGTACAAACTCTTTAGGATTGTAGCAGTTGTATGCACCTCCAACCCATTTACCAGGACCACTGAATACCGGACCAAACTCGTGAGGACAGATGCAGCCTTCATCGTGGAAGAAGCGGTGATAATAGTACATTGCGTAGTCAATTGGGGTTCCATCCCATTCAGCCTCTCTCTGGTTATCGGTCGCGTTAATTATTATCTAAACATAGCAAGTGTTTATGACTACTGACCTGTAGACCCTGCTTCTCGAGCTCCGCCTTATGCTTGTAGTAAAGGGCGATGTCTTCCTTGGCAACGTTGCGGCTTGCATCATCAAAGATGACACGTCCAACCTCTCCGAGGTATCCCTTGGTGATAGGCGACGGGATATCTGGGTTAACCTTTTTAGACCCGGAAGAGGTAATGGTCATCGGCGAGTTTGAATATTGAGACATTGTGTAGATATTGAGACGATTTCTTAATGAATGCTACGAAAGGAATGATGGGAAGCGTGGTATTTTTCGGCGAAAATTACAATACTAAATGTGTCAATGTGTTGGGAGAAAAGAATGGTAACGAGGTAAGCAGGACGGCAACAAGGCAAGTTGTGTTAAGAAGTCATCTTAAGACCTCAGTCAAATGTTAACAGATGCGGGGACCACAATGTCGTTGCTACAGCCCGTAGAGGGGTTAATGGCCTCGTCTCCCTAACAACCACTGACAAACTTCCGGTACCTCCTAGTAACACCTCACTATGGAACCCACAGGCACCTGTCGAGAGAAATTACCCAGCTAGGACAAGGCGGTGCATGGCAACGAGAAGCATGCAATTAGTTCTCGTGGCGTCTACTGAAGATATGGCCCTGATACCTAATAATTAATTCCGCTGGCACCTGTTTATACATGGCCGTATCCTAGGGAAGAGATATACATGCAAATACACAACCTTCTAGCCCTGTTATAACCATCACGTCACCTATTTGCCTAAGTGATAAGTATATATCTCTGTCTCTGTACCTACCTAGTTATCTAATCGCGCTCTATTTAAACTAGGGAAACCATGTCATATCCAATCACTAAAGAGAGATAGCACCTGTTTATAGACAAAGATAATATGTTTGATCTAGCATGGGCAGGTATCTTCCAGTCTACTGTATGGTGAACGTAGAAGATCCTTTCAAATCATATCAAGACATTATATATATATATCGCACACTCACTACGGGAGAAGACAGATTGTATTAAAAGATTTAAGGAAGCCTACTGTTAAAAGATCTGCTCCAGCGCTGTGCGTAGAAGGGGATAAGGCCGCTATTGTATTATGATGCTACCGATAACTGTAATAAAAATAAACGATTCCTTACTAGATATATATGCATTAATAGTCTTATGATATTCAACATTTAACTCTTTATAAAAGAACTTGTTGTCTAGCAATTTTTCTACTCCCCACTTACATCACCACACTTATATAAAGCCAGAGATGTTTACTTGAAATTTCTGAGAGGAAGTAGTGGCATCTTGAGACTCTTTCTGTGGTTATATTTCAATGTAGTATCTAAAAATAAGGGGCTGGGCTATTTCACCTCATATAGGGAGGTAGATTAAGCGGGCAAACCTCAATACCCGATTCAAGTAGTTAAGTAGGTCTATTTTAACAAATGAGAGGAGATAGAGGTTATAAAGGGCGTTAATACCCTTATACTAACGAGATAGTGATATGCGCATTGGAGGTTCAAATTCAGGGGTAAACTGTCTGCCTGCTTGAGCTATACAACTTCGTTGATCCTCTCTATTTGTTGTTTAAATTTTGAGTACACATACTGGTTGTATTAATTTCTGAGGCCTATATAATATTTTGACTACACATATCAAAGAAGCAAAGCAGAACATAACATTTCCTGGTCTAATACCTTGCGATGGTTGTTGTTGAAGCTCAATAGCTGCATATCACGATATATGTATTTATACATCATAGTAGCCTTGGTATTCCGTACACGTGCTACTGATCCTGGTGTATTAATCCCTGCACGAGTTACATAATGCCCGATCTGCCGGCTGCCGGCTGCCAGCAGGCACGCATTCCTGCGGTAGTACATACATGTAGGTACCCTGTCTTGTACATCATCATCTGAGCTCATAAGCTTATGACCGATAAGATAGGGCTGCCTGTTGTTTCCGGTAATGGTAAGCACGTCACATCGAATCTCCCATTCCTAATTCTCCCAATACAGGAGATGGGAAGTTTCATCTTCAAGTCATTCCTTTAAAATAAATCATCTTACAGAGCCACCTAGGTATTCATCATATAGGGCTCACTGGCAGTTGGTTGGACTGCCTCCCCCTGCCGTGAACATGGCGACGCCATCGACATCAACCTTGGATCAGTCACCTCTCCTACGATCGCGTTCATCCTCTACATTAGGATCGCTTAGCTCGAACACGTCCATCAGCAATGCCTCCCGAAATCTGAAGCTCCGGCATAAGACGCGTGCCCTACGCGCCGTCGCCTTTATCGTATCTATAATCACAGCCCTCTGCGCCGGATCCATCACCGTATTCTCGCTCTACGGGCACCTCTTCCAGTCGCGACTACATTACACCCAATTCCAAATCAACGGCATCGCTAGTGCCATGAGCCTCTCAATGTACCTCCCGGTCCCCGTGATAGGATTCCTGTGCGACCGAGTAGGGCCTGGTCCGCTCTCCCTGATGGCCTCGATCCTACTAGGAGGTGGCTACGGATTGGCGGCCGGCTTATATCACAAGGGTCTTGAAGAAGTTGAGGATGGAGGGAAGGGTGTGAAAACTACATTCCCTCCTATGCTCTTTGCCTTCGTGGCTATTGGTATAGGCACGTCCTGTATGTACCTAGGCGCCATTACTACATGTGCCAAGAACTTTGGGCAAGGCAAATATCGAGGCTTGATGCTGGTTGCTCCTATCGCGTCATTTGGTCTTGGTGGAATGGTTCTTAGTCAGATCGGGAGTCGGATTCTCTACGAGACACAGCCGGATGGAGCTAGAGACGTGAACGTATTCCATTTCTTCCTGTTCCTCTGCGTCGTTCTCGCTGTCCTAGGACTCGTTGGTACCTTTTCATTACGGGTTGTAGATGAAGAGGACCTCATCGACGGTGCGGTAGAAGAACTAGAGAGGAGCGGGCTCCTCGAGGGAAGCGAGGTCTTCCGCCGCCGAGCGCATCGCGACTACGGTGCTATTGATGCCATCGATGACGATGCTGGGGCCATGGATCCGGCTAGGGACGAGGATGACGATGATGATAATGCCAGGCTGAAAAAGGCCTGGCTTCTCAATGCCGAGACTAGGAGATTTTTGTCGGATCATACAATGTGGTCGTTTGGTATCGGCTTTTGGCTTATCATTGGACCGGGCGAAGCATTTATAAACAATCTTGGCACCGTGGTTGGAACTTTATATTCTCCGAGCACAAGGTCAAATGAAACGTCCGTGGCGACACACGTTTCTATTATGGCTGCGGTGAGCACGGTTGCTCGTTTACTTGCAGCATCGCTGAGCGATCTGCTATCGCCAAGTCCTCATAGCCAGCACGTCCAAACGGGATTTCCAACCTCCCTTCCAGAGCTTAGACAAAAGATATCAGTCTCACGCATAGTTATATTCATTGCTGCTGCTATTATCTTATCCATCGGAACGCTAGTACTGGCCTCCGGTGCAGTTCAGGAGCACGGGGAACGTTTTTGGATTGTATCTGGTGCGATTGGAGCAGGATATGGCGCAGTATTCAGCCTGACACCGATCATCGTGACGATGATCTGGGGCGTTGAGAACTTCGGCACCAACTTCGGCATCCTCGCACTCACACCCGCTCTGGGTTCCACGATGTGGGGTCTTATTTACTCGGCGGAATACCAGGCCGGTGCTCAAAATTCACCTTCGCTGGCTGAAGGGGCTGATGAAGATGTATTCTGTTATGGCACAAAGTGTTATTCGTCCACGTTTTGGGCCATGACGATCTCCGTGTGGATCGGGGCGGCTATGATTTTCTGGGCTTGGAAAGGCCGAAACGGTTGGTCTAAGAGGGGAATTGTGATTTAGAGGCATAGACCTACATACCTATACAGCACATGTGCGGATAAGCGTTGTATTTACACGTATTACTTTTAACTGGAGGCGATTTTAAGTTTTGGGATAGGCTTTTCATTTGTACATACTGGGTCTCGATCTTCTGTATTGGAGTTATTGGTCGGGTTTTGTTAGGAACATTGAGGGCTAGAAGGACTATCGTTCAAGGATGGAAATCAACCAAGTCCAGATTGCGTTTTTGATTCATTATCGTCTGAGTTCACGCTCGGAAGAGGACTATCTGGGAGTTCGGCTTCGGCCTTCGCAATGTCAATCAGCATTGTCCAGTCGTAAATACGCTATGTAAGATCTAAATGTGTATCTATCATGCCGTATGTCATTGACCGCCTTCACCTAGTGATTCTTGATAGCTTCTCTAATAGCCATATAGACGCTAGCTATAGGTCTAGAAGTAGAAGTTTTAAGCCCCCTATTTCGCTTCTTATCCCTGTATGGGGATACGAGAAACTTGGGTAGTCTCTACTCACTCTCGAGTATTAAGGTCACTTTCATAATGGATTCTGCTATGTCTTACATCGCTACCTGCACATCCAAGATTTGAAGGAGTACGTAATAGAATTGTCTTTCTCTAGGTCACCGCTCTTGATTAATGTTAGTCATATATCTACCTATGCTTCCACTTGACCTCGGATTCTAACCCGGATGTGTAACCTTCCTTATTCGAACTCGAGTCTTTATATAGACATATGGTCTAGAGCATGAGACTGCTGTTTCCTGCCACCTGTTGCTGAAGCGGGGATGAGGCCGATTCGTACGGGTATTAGTTCGGCATACATACTATTCAGCTCTAATATGAACATCTGCAATTTTACGCTAATAATAGACCGCCAGTTGGCAAAGAGAATTAAGTCCAACTTCTTCTAGAAAAAGGCACGGGGTAAAGTGCATTTTAGCTCGTATGGCCAACGCATCGAATGACTTCTAACAATCTTAGGGGCGCAATCGAAGTATTTGGCAACCTACACGTTGATGCAAGACTCCCGAAGCTAACCATCAATGGGAGAATCAACTGGCACTAGGGCCAGGGCTAAAGAATCCTCTATTTTTAATGCTTAATGTCTTGAACTACCTTGTTTCAATTCAGCCGCATATCCTTTGTTGTTCTAGAATCTAGAAATACGGGACCAGCATTGAGTTTTAACCGTTATAGCTTCGGAGCAATAGCCTATTCGAAAATAGTCCAAGTACCTTCGAGACTTAACTACTGTCCTTCATTCCAGAAGCCTAATCAAACCGTTGCCAAATGTCACTTGTAAGAGACACCATGAGGCTTAATGGTAGCAACATACATATCATTCTATAGAGCTGAACTCGCTACCGGCTTTTATCGACAAGACATGTCCGTTTACAGCATGATTTAAAAGACAACAGCTAGATTTCGAGACTTGGAAGTTTAACTAAGAAGCAATTAAGCCAGTCTTGTCTTTGAATAGGCTATTGTTGTGGAGTTGTATAGTTGTCAATGCCGGCCCTAGCCTGCCTGGGCAGTAACTAGGGAAAACAAACGAGTGTAAGACGGGAGGATTGAACATACCATCTTGAAGTTGTTGACATCAGCATGATGCCTTCATAGTGGAGGTGGCAACGGATACAGTCGTTGAATCTGAGTAAGAATTGTAAGAGTGGCTGTTAATCAGGCCCGATTCGGTTCGTAACTCTCGAACACGAAGAATGAAATGTGTAACCTCTTACCCTACAGCCCGGATAATTTTCAACTGCGGCCGCATATTATTACGTGACACGATGTCACGATGTTCCCTCCTCACGCATAGATGAGCAGTTACGCATGTACTCACAGACCGTCCCAACATCACAGCACAGCACAGCACAGCACAGCATAGAAGTAGTCAGCAGGCTAATCAATACATAGCCTAATACCGATCGAAAAGAAGCAGTTAAACGGATCGGAGCACGCGGCTCTGGCTCTGTTACTACCCACGTAACCGTCTTTGCAAGGGGCGCGGGGCGGCACGCCCCTGTTGGAATACGAGCTTGGCGCTGCTGATCTTTCCCCCGTGTGCCGTCTGCCGGCTTCCAACGCGATCACAGATCTCAGAACACGGTCGATCCTCCACAATTTGGCGTGTTCGCAAGCATGGGTCTTGTTCTGCGGGCTACCAGCTGCATATGTATACTACCTACTACTTGCGCCGGATCGAATGGAACCCGAACCTAACCTGACCTGACCTGAACCTGACCTGAACCTGAACCTTCGACCGCCGGCCAGACGCTACGTACATATCGAACTAATCGTAAATCATGCACCACCCGTCCCCTCAATGCCCCGTAATCTCGGGATACGAGGCCGGGGAGGTACCTGACTGGGCCCGCGCGATGGGCACCTGTTAGGCATGTAGGGAGCCAGGTAACTCCGATTTGTAAGTCGCGCCGGGTCCAGGGGCTGCAGAGTGTGAATGGATGCAACGGAATTCCAGATGGGTACTGGTAGTAGCATATAACGTGAGCAGCCGGGGAGGTACCCTACCCTTCAAAGCAGGCCGGGAATAGTCTCAAGCTACTTACTTACCTACCTCTATTACGCTATACTACACTACACTACACTACACTACTACACGCCTCATCATCGACCGGCCAGGGATACATACATACATACCTACATACATACCTACATATCGTATTCGATCGAGTATATATAAGACCTCAGCATCGCCCAAGACACCGATCTTATTTATCCTCACCACTCAGCTTTCACCTACTTAATTCCTAGTAAGCAGTCGACTTATAACAAGCCCTCTACCTAATACTTAGTAAATAATATTCCCCCCCGTCACCAACCAAACCTCAACCTCACCACCACCCTCAAAAAATGCAGATCTCCGCCCTCCTCTCCGTCATCGCCTTCTCGGCCGCCGCCGCCCTCGCCCAGCCGCTCTCCATGGCCGCCAACGCCGCCCAGTGGACCATCACCGGCCTATCGCGCGCCGTCGACGCCGCCGACACCTCTAGCGACTGGACCTTCGGCATCGACAACGGCGCCGGCACCACCGCCGTCAAGTACACCGTCAAGGCGGCCGGCTCCACGCCCGCCACCCGATCCCCCGGCGGCCCCGTCACCGTTGGCGATTTCACCATCACCAGCGGCTGGAGCGGCCAGTTCGGCGACGACAAGGGCTTTACTACCTTCTCCGTCGTCGACAATGCGAAGCGCCAGATCGTGTATCCTGCCGTGAGTACCTAACCCACCCTATCTACCTACCTTTTCCTTCCTGTCTATGAAATATATATATATATATCGGGATTGTTTGCTAACACGATGCTATATATATAGTACACCGACGCCCAGGTCAAGGACGGCCAGGTCGTCAAGCCCGACCAGAGCTACCCCGTCCAGAACCTCCCTTAAGCGGCGAACTCGCTAGCTAGCTAGCAATGGGGTTCAGACCTGGGGAACGAAGTAAATGGAAACGACAAGCAACGAGGCTAGGTTAAGGGGGCAGGGTAGAGTCCGGGGTTCCTTTTTGGTCGTAGTATGTACATATGGCGACGATGGGGATTCGATTCATAGATATATATAAGTGTTAATACGAAAATGTATATCTTCTGAATTGCTTTGCAATATATTGCATATTTGATTTGATATTTGATTTGATATTTGCCAGTGTGATGATTATGAGCATATGTTATGTCGGCCGGGTAGAATCTCGATTGGTGTTTAATACGAATTAGATCTTAACGAGTAGTATTGCTTGCTTATATCAATAGCATGTAGGTAGACGCGAACTTGAATAAAAAGCCTACGTTATAACTGAGGTGTAATTTCTATCGTCGGTTGATATAGATTTCAAGGATATCAATTCATATAAAGTAGCCCACGTAGCGTGGGCGGATATGCAAGCGAGTGAGCCCAATGCAAGTTATCTAGGAATGCCACAATGCAGAAATCAAATACAATTCCAAACGCCGCCCTATGCCTGACCCTTTAGTTCTTCCTCCACTTGATTCTTTACGATCTCCCTGACCTTCTGCCAGTCGTTTTCTACTTCCGTAACCCTCTTTTCCTTTGCCTCTAAGCCTAAAAACTCTGGCGGCAGAACCTTCTCCTCGAAGTTAAAGCCGGGCTCATCTTTCAACGCAAGGTTAACGGCGCCGGCAAACTTGGCCGGGTGGGCGGTTGAAAGCGAGATGTGAGGAACCTTGGAACGCTCTAGTGACCGTAATGATGCGGCCACACCTATCGCGGTGTGAGGGTCCAGGACGTATTCGATCTTCTTAAAGTAATTCTTAATCGTATCGATCGTCTGCGAATCGCTCACCCGTTCGCTTTCAAAGTCGCGCTTAGCACTAGAGTGTACGTCCCGATAGACTGGACCAAAACCACCGCTCATCTTTAGTTGTTTCATCCATGCGGCCACCTCCTGGCCAGCCTGTCTCCTGTTCCACTCAGCGTCCATACCGGCAACGGCGGCGAACTCGTAAGCCAGGAACCAAAGCAATCGCTCGAAGTTACTCGAGACGAGGATGTCCATTGCGGGGCTCAGCGTTTCCTTGACGCCAACTTCGTGAGCCTTGACGCCATCGACCGCTAGACCCCCTTGCGCTTCCGGACCATGGGCGGGCTTTTTCTCGTATTTTCCGGTCTTCCAGAATCGGTCAAGGATGTCATTCTCGTTTGTCGCAACTACTAATTTCTCCGCAGGAAGACCCATCTTGTGCGCAAAGTAGCCGGCCAAGATATCGCCGAAATTACCGCTAGGTACAACATAGCGGATTTTTTCGCCCATGGTCAGACCGGATGACTTTACAAGCGAAAAGTAAGAGTAGAAATAGTAAACGATCTGGGCGAGAATTCTTGCCCAGTTTATCGAGTTTACTGCGCCAAGGTTAAGAGTTGAGTTAATGTCGGGATCGGCAAACAAAGCCTTTACTATGTCCTGGCAATCATCGAATGTGCCCTTAACTGCCAAATTGTGCACGTTTGCATCCAACACCGTGGTCATTTGTGCTTCTTGAATAGGGCTAACCCTGCCTTTGGGATGAAGGATAAACACCGATACGTCCTTCTTTCCTCGTAGACCGTAGATGGCCGCCGAGCCGGTGTCACCACTTGTGGCGCCTACGACAGAGAGATGGTGTCTGTCGGTGCCCGTCTTTCCCTCATTCTTCCGTACCAGGAAGTACTCGAAGAGGTTGCCTAGAAATTGGAGAGCGACATCCTTGAAGGCGAATGTAGGGCCGTGGAAAAGCTCTAGTAGGTATAGGTTATCGTGAAGGTGTCGTAGCGGTGTAGTTTCAGGGGCACGAAATGTCGAATAACTCCTGTCAATGATTCCCTTTAGGTCATCGCGTGGAATTTCCGATGGCGCTATATATAAAGATAGGACCTCGAGGGCAAGGTCTGGGAAGGATAAGTCTTTCCAGCTCTGCCAATCGCTCGCCGAAGGGATCTCCTCCGGAATGTAAAGCCCGCCATCGTTGGCTAGACCTTTTAGAACAACCTCTTCGAAGGAAAACTAAAGAAATCAGTTAGTGAAGAGTTACTGTAGATAATTGCACCACTATAACTCCTACATCATAGTCCTCGCCCCTGGTACTCAAATACCTTTGAGAGGCATTACGGTCGTCCGAGGAGCTGGCATCTGTCGTCTCGCCATTGGTTCCGTTCGACATGGTGGAAATCTAATACCAGGGACAATGGCTAGGTGTCTTACGATCTCCAAGTTCCCTCGAAGGGTATATTTCGCCTGGCGATGACGAAAGGAAAAAAAATAAAAAATGGAAGAGCGAATTCGGCTGATAGTTGATTACTACCCCGCACTAGCCTGATCTAGATAAATCTGAGTTGGGAAAGAGGGGACCACTTCCCCTAGTCCCCTATTCTCTACCTTCCTTTGTGCCTGCCGACGATCAAATAGAAGGAGGCCAGCTGAACAAGGCTCAGCATTATTGCCCCTGAACACTTGATTGGTTTAATCCTTGCATCTTACTTTCTTCCAACTCTATTCTATGCATATTCCATGTTGCTTTACGAACTGCATATTGTTTCTTTTTAATGACTTGCATAATTATGAATATACTTAACTACCTACTTACCCGGGTGGGGGGGGTTTTAAAACAAATTGATATTAATTTATTAATATTATAAAAAAAAGTTAAAATAATTTATTTAAATAATAAAGATTTATACGTTTTATATTAAATATTATTTAATTTGGAAATTTTAATTATTTTAATAAAAATATTTTTAAAGTTTTAAATTTAATTTAAATATAATAATAAAAATAATAATTTGGTAAAGTTAAATTAATATTATACTTTTAATATTATTGTGTTTTTAATAATGTTTTAATTGTAAAATTTTAAAGTTACACGAATAAAATGTATATTATATATAATTATATTATATATATAATAAAAACATTAATGCGATATATATTTTAATATAATAATAATAATGCCATTAATGTATTTATTTAATGGGTATTATATATTAAAAAATATATATATTAAAAAAAATATTTAAAAAAAAAGTTATTTTAAACACTTTTTATTTTAAAATTTTTAAAATTAGTTTTTTTTTTTATTAAATTACGATAAAATTTAAATGATTATAAATTAAATTATAAGTTAAATTAAAAGTTAAATTATAAATTTACGGGTTATTTAAATTAATTATAAAACATTACATTATATTATATTACATATACATGTAAAAAAATAATTTATTATTTTATATAAAATATATTAAAACGTTTATTTTTTTTAAATTAATTAAAATATTTTAAACTTTTAAAAGTTATTATAATAATTATATTAAATTAAAATTAACGTGGTAAAACAAATGTAATAACCGTATTAATAAATTTTATTATATTAATAAAAGTTACTTAATATCGACGGTAATAACATTTTATTTTTAATAGTTTTTTTTATTTTTACAAACATTATTTTTTTATAAAAGTTTTATTTTTATTTTAATTTTAAAGCTATAATAATATTTATTAAAATAGTATAAAATCAACAATATTAAAGCTATTTTAATTATAGTATTATTTTTATAAAAAGGGCCCGTGCTGAAATGTATGGTTAGTGCGTGTGTATATTTTTACGGAAAAGATCGGAAGTAAGGTTATCATTATTTTATATAATTCTGGTACAGCTCTATTAACAGGCTTTTCCCGAATTGACATTATAATACATTTCAACATTTTAAAGTTATACTGTCCTAAGACCCCCCCCACCCGGGTAGGTAGGTTAAGAGCAATAAGTATTAAGAACTTGTTTCTTTTTTTGTTGATAAAATGGCTAGATACATGTTGAAGTTGTTGCGATAATTGCGATAGACAGGTACGTGAGTGAGTATGGACTTACCTAATACAGCAGGTCTGCTGTGAGGCCTAGGTTGGCGTTGATTCGCGGGAATGTGAGATTGCCCATGTACCTATTTTAGCCACTGTGAGATAGCGCTTTCTTGATATCCCCGGCTTGGTCAGCAGCCATTATCGGTACCAGTCCTCTCGTTGTCCCATGCTTTCTATTTATTATTTCATCCGCTCAACTTAATTTCATCATTACATCAAGTGTGAACTATCCATCTCAATATGGACTGACTAATTATAGACCATCGTTCTTACGCAGTAGTGTTTTCTTAAAGCTATAGAATTGGCCCCTGCTATCTAAAGTTACAGCCTGTTATATTCCGACTCATCGCTTCGCTACTATGGCTCCCGGCAGAGCAAGCATCGAGGTTACGGCTCCCCCGTATCCGCCCGGGACCGAAGAAGAGGTTAAGTGCCTTCCAGAGGGCCGACATTTTACTCTTCGAGGTGTTGCCGCCGGTCTACTCGTCGGGCTGATGTGAGTAGCACGTATATTTCTTTATTTCCCTTTCATAGCAAAGCGTAGACGCGTCCCCATTTCTTATATAAGCCATTATTTTTAGAGTACGATGTAAACCCCTCCGTTTAGCAGTAGATAAAATGTATCAAAACGGTAGTCATTACTGACTTCATATTGTAGAATATGTTTCAGTAATATGTACTTCGGGTTACAGACTGGCTGGATTTCTATGATGACAATGCCTGCTAGTCTATTAGGCTTTGGTATCTTTAAGACTCTGTCACGTCACCTAACGTTTCCATTCTCCCCCGTGGAAAATGTGCTTGTGCAATCTGTGGCAGGCGGTATGGCAATCATGCCTCTTGGTTGCGGATTCGTAGGCGTGGTAAGTAGTGATGGGCCCAACAAGAAAAGAATAGCCATACTAACTAGATCTATTCCGATCCTAGATACCGGCTATGGAGTATATGATGGACTCATCAGAGCAAGGTCCGATAAGACTAAGCATGTGGAAACTCATAATTTGGTCTCTAGGTCTTTGCTACTTTGGTGTCGTATTTGCTGTTCCGTTGTAAGTCAACGGTCCTTTCTGATCTATTCGATATTGGCACCTAACCTCAATTAGGCGTCGTCAAGTGATCATCAGAGAACAATTGAAATTCCCAAGTGGATTCAGTACCGCGGTTCTGATTGGGGTCCTTCATGGCAAAGGACAAACTCAAAACAGCGGCGCATTGGATACATCGAAAGCTGCTACTTTTGGCAGTCTAGCACTTGAGAATCAACCACTTCTACAAACCGAAGGTGCCGATGACGGGGGTGATGTAGCTGATTCGACTGGTGGACTACCGCCCGCTGCTGAGTCGACAAAGCCTTATAACTGGGGTTCTAATATCCGGCTACTTCTGATTACGTTTGGAATATCTGGCTTATACACCCTCTGCACTTATTTCTTTCCCATACTTAGGAACCTCCCTATCTTCGGAACGGTGGCAGCAGACACTTGGCTCTGGACTCTAAATCCAAGCCTCGCGTACGTCGGTCAAGGTATTATAATGGGTCCTTCTACAACTATACATATGCTTCTTGGAGCGGTAGTTGGCTGGGGCATTCTATCTCCCCTTGCTAAATCTCGAGGCTGGGCCCCAGGGCCGGTCGATGATTGGGAGGAAGGTAGTAGAGGCTGGATTGTCTGGACTTCTCTTGCTATTATGCTATCAGATGCCATTGTCAGCTTAGGATATATTGCCTTCGCCCCCCTTCTAAAGAATTATCCGTCTATCTTTGCCAGCATCAGACGGCGATTTCAGTATGATGGGCTCAAGAGTTTATTCTTTAGTCGATCCAGAGGGTACACAGCTATTCAGAACAGCGAAGACGACCCGAGAACTTCAGTAGCCACGAGGCGCTCAGAGGACGTAGATGGTCTACCAAGCCCGTTAGTTGAGCGCAGGAATCCTTTCGACACACAACCGACTGATACCCAAAGAGCCTGGGATCAAGATGACGCACCCCCCGATCAACTAGTCGGAAACAGAACAGTTAGTGTTGGTCTCGTTGCATCGGTCCTCTTTTGCATCGCTAGCATTCATATCACGTTTGGCGATCTAGTTCCCCTATATGCCACTATCATAGCCGTTCTAATGGCAATGGTTTTGAGCATAATGGGAGTTCGAGCGCTAGGTGAAACGGACCTGAATCCCGTTTCCGGAATCAGCAAGCTAGCACAGCTTTTCTTCGCATTAATTATCCCACAGTCTCACAAATCAAGTGTCCTCATTAATTTGGTGGCTGGCGCTGTATCGGAAGCTGGTGCATTACAAGCGGGTGATCTCATGCAAGATCTGAAGACCGGCCACTTACTGGGTGCAGCGCCGAAAGCGCAGTTCTGGGGCCAGATCATCGGCGCGACTGTGGGTGCTGTTGTCAGTGCGTTCATCTATCGGTTATACACTGCTGTATACGAAGTTCCTGGGGACCTATTCCAAGTACCAACCGGCCGCGTGTGGATCGCAACTGCAAGATTGGTCACTGGGAAGGGATTGCCAGATATGGCCAGGAGTTATGCTATCGGTGGAGCGGTTATTTTCGCTATCTTCACTGCCCTTCGTGCAAAGGCGATTGGAAAGAGCTGGCATGCGTATATACCTGGCGGGATCGCCGTGGCAGTTGGTAAGAACAAACAAATATAATGAATTAGGTCTATTGCTAACAAAATACTTTTTAGGCATGTACAATGTCCCATCTTTCACATTAGCAAGAACTATTGGTGGTTTGATAAACTGGTACTGGAGGATATATCTGCGAAAGGATGATACACCGCTTATTATCCTTGCGTCGGTGAGTGACTTATTATTATGGTTAGCTTTTTGAATAGCATCACTGACATCAATTATAGGGTTTCGTTCTAGGAGAAGGAGTTTTGAGTATCGTCAATCTGCTATTACAGAGCTCTCGAGTTCCTCACCTCTGAAAACAGTAGCACTGGCCAATCGGGGGGTTTACGTAGTTCAGCCTGAAATAATCATACGATGTTTGGTCTATCTAGGTAGGTAGTATATATTTGTCCTATTTCTTAGTTTATATTACTACTTACCAAGCGATCTCGGTATGCTTACCAAATGGTATAACTGGAGAACATGAGACGATGATAAGGACAGCATCAAGTAGCATAGTAGCATAATATTTGGATATACATAAATCCATCTTTGTATGGGGCAGCCTGGTCCCGACGATCGGATATCATCTAATGTACCAGGAAATATCCGGGCTTGTGATCGCCCGATCTCAGCCGGAGCCGTGGTTTTGTGGGCTGATTTTGCCCCCGCATTTTAAGTTCCACAGCCGGCGCGGGGTCTTAATATATCGGTGGTATCCCTCTCGAAACGCGCGGGCCAGCAAAGTCTCGCATCTCACATCGTAGTTGGCCCGATCAGTGCTATACAGTCAAGATGCTGCTCAACGAAAGCCATACCGACGTGCAAACAACCGTGGATGGGAAGGAGACGTCGATGAGTGAGGAGGGCCCCCGCGACAGTAGAGGCTCCTGACTAGAGACGCTAACGTTGGGCAGGAATTTTCACATTTCATCCCACCATCCCGCAATATCCTGATGCGTAAGGCCTTTATTTTCTTTCCATTTAAGGACTTGGACATAAGTTTGCTGATGAGTTGGCAGTCGATTTCCTGGCATCGTGTTATTCAGCGAGATCTATCAAGGTATCATCATCGTCGAGCATCTAGCACGGCAAGTCGTCGACTACTATGCAGCTCGCTAACTAGCGTGTGGACAGTCACGGGTCCAGTAGCGCGATTCGCGCGTCAAATCGCAGGTCAGGGCTATATTGTTGCTGCTCCATCGTCGTATCACGACTTCACTGGCCCCGAAGCCCTAGCCTACGATGACCCGGGAACGAACCAGGGGAATGAGTGGAAGGTGAAGAAGGTAAGGTCGTGGCTCCATGTAACATATCGACTAAGTGCAGGCTGACCGCGAGCATGGTTGCAGACTCTTCAATCATATGACGAGGACTCTCACAAGGCGGTTGATTACCTCCTCAGTCTTCCTACGTGTACGGGCAGGATAGGCAGTACGGGAATGTGTCTGGGTGGCCATCTTTCTCTACGAGCTAGTGTACGACTCTTACTTTCGATTAAACCTTCTTGCGCTGACGTGCCCCTAGCTTGATCCGCGGATAAGCGCAACCGTTGCGTACTTTGCTACCGATGTACACTCCCGTACGTTGGGGCCTCATTCGGGGGCCAATTTGTCAGTCCAGGGCCCAGAAAACAGTAACCACACGATCGACAAGCTCGGCGAGATTAAGGGCGAGGTAGCCATGATTTTCGGCATCAAAGACACCCACGTCCCGGACGAGGGCCGCGACTTGATTCGACACAAGCTGAGGACCTCTGGGACGGTCTTCAGTTTTTACGAGTTCGCGTGGGCGCAGCACGCCTTCATCCGCGATGAGCTGAGCAAGGGTCGCTACGATCCGGCCATCACGAAGATCTGCTTCGAGGTGTTGCTGGAACTGTTCGGCCGAGTGCTAAAGTCAGACCTGGGACAGAGGGACAACAAGCCTCAGAAGATTGAGCACGTCTGTTGATGAGTCTCTGACATCGGCAGTCTGTATCAGTAAAACCGAGAACAATCTCCGTGGAAATATCCACCAACCTATTTCCTAGGAGTATTGATTAGCTACATATCCGCTCATTATCTATCCAAATTACATATTATGTATACCGACTTAATCCCCGAAAAATGGAGGTAAGGCAGGCAATACGTAAATCAAAACATGTAACCCTACTTAGAGGCTACTTGATATTTCAACAGGCCAGAAACGGCCGCTAAAATGCCTTACCATAAAGTAGATGTTGGACTTGCCCGCATTTGTTGAAAATGAGATATGTAGATATTCGAAACGTTTTCGGAATAATTAGTCGTCCGTTGGGGGCCGTTGTGGCTGATTTGAGGTCATTTCTGGTTACATTACAATTGCAGGTATGCGTCTCGAAGATAATATGCATATTTTCTCCTATAAGGCTGCCTACCGAAGTATTAAGTTCCCAAATAGGTATATGGAATATTGGAGAAATCAGGTATTGGTCAGCTTAGTATTTTGATATCACGAAGCCTCACATTGGTCTATGTAAAAGGTGGGCTTGCGAACTATGTATGTAATAAGAAGGCTGCTTGACGATGGTTGGTATGAGATGGTACGAAGTTACTTCTAGAGGGATTGTACACTTTTACCTAGACGATACCTGCCGCTTCTGAATGCGATTCTATGAATGCCATTGGATTTGAACTCGAAAACACGTACATGTACATACCTCATGTAACTACCTATTGTAGATCCTCCAAGAGACTTGAATCTTCTAGAATTACATAATGACGTCCTTCTCGCGGCTTTGTATGTACACAAATCAGACAAGGCAGGCAGATTGTACATAGAAGGCAGAGGGCAGTAGGCGAAGCAATTGGAAGTTGCCTTATCAACGGATCCGTTCCTGCCTGACAGCGAAAAGAAGAGCAGAGAAGAAAAAAAGGTACATTGGGATAGGTATTTTGTGTTTCGTGCATTTTTAGTGGGTCATAAGGCGGGCAACCAAGCAGTGATGTCAGTACCTCTTACCTTGTGTACTGAGCACTAGGTATGGCGGGGTAAGTACCCAGAGAGGTATCTATGTACTCAGAATATGTGATGTGCATAGTGTACCACCTAGGTAGAGAATAGAGACGATACTTAGAGGTTTGTACCGTAGGCCTGTTGCTCCTAGAGACCTCTAGAATTAACAGTGTACTATTACGAAATTCAATTCACTTATATCCTTAGGTACACTTCTGAGATGTAGGCCAGAAAATACGGTACATGCAGTACATAAGTGTGTACTGAAAATTCTATTGTTTTCAGTTACCTAGCAAGTTAGGCGGAAAGTACCAGAAGCGGGTACCAACTTCCAGCAATTCGAGAAGATTCCCTGGCCCCACCATAGCTTCCACTTCTGATTGTATAAACTCTTGCTCAAGTCCCAAGCACATTTCTCTTTTCATCATCAATCTCAGACATCAACAACACCAATTCACACACAAACAACGCAAAACACATTAATTTAGATACCCGTCCCATTTGGGTACAAAATTCTGTCGCGTTTTGACATATCTACAACGTTATTACACCTCTACAACGCACATCTTTCTATTACCCCGCCATACCTACTGTTTGACTCTAAAAAGTCGTCACATCTTTCACAATGGTTCCCGCAGTCGGAATTGACTTGGGCACGACCTATTCGTGTGTAGGCGTCTACCGAGACGACCGAATTGAAATCATTGCCAATGATCAGGGTAACAGAACCACACCCTCCTTCGTGGCCTTCACGGACACGGAGCGTCTGATCGGTGATGCCGCCAAGAACCAAGTCGCTATGAACCCTCAGAACACCGTCTTCGACGCCAAGCGTCTGATCGGTCGCAAGTTCTCGGACCCCGAGGTTCAGGCTGACATGAAGCACTTCCCCTTCAAGGTCATTAACAAGAACGACAAGCCTGTCATCGAGGTTGAGTACAAGGGTGAGACGAAGCACTTCACCCCCGAAGAAATCTCCTCTATGGTCCTTACCAAGATGAAGGAGACCGCTGAGGCCTACCTTGGTGGCACTGTCAACAACGCTGTTGTTACTGTACCTGCCTACTTCAACGACTCTCAGCGACAAGCTACCAAGGATGCCGGTCTAATTGCTGGCCTGAACGTCCTCCGAATCATCAACGAGCCCACAGCTGCCGCCATCGCTTATGGTCTCGATAAGAAGACCGAGGGTGAGCGCAACGTTCTCATCTTCGATCTCGGTGGTGGTACCTTCGATGTCTCTCTCCTAACCATTGAGGAGGGTATCTTCGAGGTCAAGGCTACTGCTGGTGACACTCACTTGGGTGGTGAGGACTTTGACAACCGACTTGTCAACCACTTCGTCAACGAGTTCAAGCGCAAGCACAAGAAGGATCTCTCTAACAACCCCCGTGCTCTGCGACGTCTCCGAACCGCTTGCGAGCGTGCCAAGCGTACTCTTTCTTCTTCCGCTCAGACCTCTATTGAGATCGACTCTCTATACGAGGGTATCGACTTCTACACGTCTATCACCCGTGCCAGATTCGAGGAGCTTTGCCAGGATCTCTTCCGATCCACCATCCAGCCCGTCGACCGCGTCCTTGCTGATGCTAAGATCGACAAGTCTCAAGTCCACGAGATTGTCCTCGTCGGTGGCTCCACCCGTATCCCCCGTGTGCAGAAGCTCATCACCGACTACTTCAACGGAAAGGAGCCATGCAAGTCTATCAACCCCGATGAGGCCGTCGCCTACGGTGCTGCCGTACAGGCTGCCATCCTCTCTGGTGACACCAGCTCCAAGTCGACCAACGAGATCCTGCTTCTCGACGTCGCCCCGCTTTCCATCGGTATCGAGACTGCTGGTGGTATGATGACCAAGCTCATCCCCCGCAACACCACCATTCCTACCAAGAAATCCGAGGTCTTCTCCACCTTCTCGGACAACCAGCCTGGTGTCCTGATCCAAGTCTACGAGGGTGAACGTCAACGCACCAAGGACAACAACCTGCTCGGCAAGTTCGAGCTGACTGGTATCCCACCTGCGCCTCGTGGTGTCCCTCAAATTGAGGTCACTTTCGATGTCGATGCCAACGGTATCATCAACGTGTCCGCCGTTGAGAAGGGTACTGGCAAGTCCAACAAGATTGTCATCACCAACGACAAGGGTCGTCTATCCAAGGAGGAGATCGAGCGTATGCTTTCCGAGGCCGAGAAGTACAAAGAGGAAGATGAGGCTGAAGGTCGCCGTATCGGTGCCAAGAACGGCCTTGAGTCGTACGCATACTCTCTCCGAAACACCCTCTCCGACTCCAAGGTCGACGAGAAGCTCGACGCTGGTGACAAGGAGAAGCTCAAGGCCGAGATCGACAAGGTTGTCGCTTGGCTCGACGAGAACCAGCAGGCCACCCGCGAGGAGTACGAGGAGAAGCAGAAGGAGCTGGAGGGCATTGCCAACCCCATCATGATGAAGTTCTACGGAGCTGGTGGTGCCGGTGGTGTTCCCGGTGCCGGCGGCCCTGGCGGCTTCCCCGGTGCTCCCGGCGGTGCTCCTGGCGGTGGCCAGGATGACGGCCCCACTGTTGAGGAGGTTGACTAAACGGTTTCGCATTCATGATATCTCTTTTCCTTTATTGTTCCGGCGTTTTCCTCAGGTGTTTAATGACACACTGTGTGGCGGTCTCGGATTTCACGGGTTTGCACTAGATTCTTACTGGTAATGAATGATACAGGGCAAAAGTTGCGGTTTATGACTTGCATGGGATGTATTCTAGGCAGGAATAATCCTTCTACGAAGCAATGAAGTTAATTCATAAATAAATACTGCGGTCTTCATGAATGTGATATGTGTGACATGATTATAAGCTTTGCTACATATTTAATGGTTTTCTATGGTTGAATTGTTATCATTAGATGTAGGACTTTGAGGTAAGCTTTAAGAAAATTTGTAAATTTCGTAGTGCTCCCATTTCCACGATGCCGTGTTGCTATATCTTGGTACACTACTGACTTAAACCCTACCTATTCAACTAAAACGAGATGTCTGACTGAAGCCTTCTATACTTTACATAAATGCACACATTACTATATTAGTCTAAGCTGACTCGCGCGACTGCAGCTGTTCCTGGACCCTCCGTCTCCGCTCAATCTCAAGCCGGCGCCACTCCTCATCGCTGATACTCGGCATGTCGAGGTGTTCGCGGAAGGCGGTATCAGGCTGGACCTTCTCGTCCCTGGGCTGCCAGACGTCGGCGCTGCTGGGACGTCCGGGGGCGTGGTACTTGAGGTACTCCTTGCGGCGATAGTAGGCGCGGATGGCTTCTTCTTTCTGGGGGCCCGAGTAGGTGCGGGTGCGCATGCAGAACCAGAAGTCGTCCCAGTGCTCGGAGCAGGAGCGCATGGTCCCGGAGCGGTAGACGGATACCCATTGGCCGCCGAGGGAGTTGCAGTGGTAGGCGGCGTCGAAGGCTTGGCGGCAGGACATGCTGGTTGGGAGGAGGGATTCGGTTATTGGGTCTAGGTGGGAGGGGATGGGGGGGTCGGTTGTGGTTGTGGTGGGGGAGGAGGTGGTGGTGGACCAGAAGAGGGAGGAGGAGTTGGAGGATTGGAAGGAGGAGGACTGTGATGTTGTTGTTGATGGGGGAGTAGATGTGCTTTTGGTCGATGGTTCGGGGGGAGGTTGTGTGGTGGCGGGTTTGCTGGTGCTGCCGAACTCTGCTTGCAGCTGGGCCATGAACTTGGCGATTTCGGGATCGCCATAGTCGGATTCGGGCTGCTTTGGCGGAGGCGCTGCGGGCTTGGTATTAGACTCGTCGGCGGTAGGATTGGGGCTCTTTGGAGCGGAGGGGGATTGCGATGACCACATCCAACCCATGGTGTCTGTTGTCAGCTGGTTTGCTGTTATAGCTTCGTATATGTAGATTTGCCGATTGGGATTTGCGATTAACTTTGCGCTTCTGTTGAATTGGTTCTCTTGGGAATGAAGACGGTAGTGATTCGTAAAGATGAAGCAGTTAGATTGAAGGATAGAACATAGGTGAACAAAGGAAGGTCTCAGTGTTCGGTCGAGTATGTGCGGGGGGTTGACGCGGGGTGCAGTATTGGAGTATAGTAGTATTTGCTCTCGTGATCGATTCCCTCGAAGGTGATGCGATTTTCTTTTTGGACCAATGACAGACAGAGTCGCTGATTGCAGCTCAAATCCGTGGTACGATGGATCTGGTACGGGAAGCAGAGATGGTCTGATATACGGAATAGTGACCTCAGATATGCAGGTGGGTTTTGGGTATCACTACATATGTAGAAGTTCTGTAGGTTGTTGCATATGCCCGTTCAAATTTCGATATATTCCTTAGGTACCTTTTAACTTCGTCTCGACGGTTTCTCAATTGCTTCGCGCTATATAGGTTAGAAGCTTTCATCCCACCAAGACTGTGGCTTAATAGCTGTGGCACACTATATATTCAGGTACATAATCCGTACAGTGGTGGCTTGACTATTTTGACAGGTGGGGAGGTACAATTACCTAAGATAATTTGATCTTAGCAAGAGCTAGCTATGACCTCATCGGCCTTTACGAAACTTGTTGAATTGAGCTGAACTAAATAGTTGAACACTAACTAACAATAATAAATTCTAACACGTTCAGCACAATCCCTACGGATCTCATATCTCCTCATCCGGCTCATTGTCGACTATGAGCATGGGGAAGAGCTTCAAACTATCCAGACGATGATCCCAAGATACCCATGTCTCGGCCCTAGGAGCTTGCCTGGGTTGAGGGGGTTAAGAACCCCGGGCTCATTCGCGAGACCTATTCTCACACAACGTTACCAGCCACGATGGACATCGGTACCGAGAGCTTGGGAGAGTACTACTACCGGAGAAGGGAAAAGTGGCCATATAGATGCTGCTCCGAATGAATCCATTCTTTGGATAGACAGTATGGCCAAATTCTTTTTTTTTTTTTTTTAATATTTTTTAAACAATACTACACCCTTAATATACTGAGATGAACTAAGATAACTAACCAAACCTGTTAGATTTATTCCCCCTTAAACTCTCCGGATTACTACGAGCACCATGGAAGAGTTCCGACCTGGACGTGGCCGAGCTTATGAAGCGATTTCAGAACTCAACTCTAGGCGCCCTTGACCCTATGAACATGGTCAAACGAGCCATTCCAAAGACTGCCCCAATTAATATTACTGAAATCCTACCTCGCCTTAAGGACGGTGGAGCTTTTGTGAAGTTCACACATCCTGCCGATGTACCTGCCAAGGAGATTGAGGCAACCATCTCTAAATACCTCCAGGAGAAGCCCGTAAGGCCATTTTTCAGTCCGTTCAGGGGAGTCCGGGCCGGACTAGTTAATGGTGTTCCCTGGCTAGAAGACCTGCATAGATTCCCTAAGGATAGACTAAGGGTTGAATTTGTCCCTAAGAATCCGGGTGAGGAGGCGGTCGAGTTGTCCCAGGAAACCTTGTACAGCTTGTTCCGCCGGTACGGAAAGATTGCCGACATCGTCTCACAACCATGGGATTCTAAAGTCCTCCCTAAATACGCCTATGTTGATTTTGCATCCGTTAGAGATGCTATCATGGCCAGGAACTGTCTGCATGGTTTCGTCGTGCCCGAAGATCTTGGCGGTGGCAAGTCGGGAACTAGGCTACGCATGTCCTATGAACAGCGAGTGCAACCACACCGGTTCTGGGAATGGATATCGAACCATCCGAGAATTGTCATTCCTGTCTTGGTCGCGTTACTAACTGGTCTCACTGTTGTTATATTCGATCCCATTCGATCATTTTTCGTCAAAGCTCACGTCACAGGCCGGTTCCGGCTCAGCAACAGTAAGCTCTATAGATGGCTTCGAAGGCGGACTGTTTATATCTTAAATCTCAAGAGAGAAAAAACGGATCAAGCAGGACTAAATGCAGTTTGGACTCACAGGAGGGACCTAATCGACCAGATTCAGAAATGGCTACTAGAAACTGCTGGAACTTTCATCGTCGTTCAGGGACCCCGCGGCTCCGGTAAGAAAGAACTGGTCTTGGACCAAGCCCTAAAGGAGAGAAGCAATGTTCTAGTCATCGACTGCAAACCGATAGTAGAAGCTAGGGGAGAATCTGGAACGATCAAGGAGATGGCGGCGTCTGTTGGTTACCGTCCTTTATTCTCGTATGCGAACAGCATGAGTAGTATGGTCGATCTTGCTGTCCAGAGCACAACCGGTGTCAAGGCAGGGTTCTCCGAGACTTTGGAATCGCAGCTTCAGAAGATCTTGCAGACAACAGCCGCTGCTCTCACGGACATTGGTATCTCGGATCGTAATAAGACGGATTCTGACGCTTCACTCCCTGTCGACGCCTACCTGGAAGCACACCCTGAGAAGCGACCCGTTGTAGTTATCGACAACTTCCTACATAAGGGCAGTTCTAACGCCATTGTTTATGATAAGGTGGCCGAATGGGCTGCTGCTTTAGTCCAATCTAATATTGCTCACGTCATATTCCTAACCACCGACTCGTCCTACTCGAAATACCTATCCAAAGCTCTTCCCGACCGTGTCTTCCGCCAGACTGCCCTGGGAGATCTCTCACCCGACATAGCCAAGCGCTTCATCCTAAGCCATATTACCAACGGAGAGGAGCAGACCGAAGCGAAAGAGGGCTTGAGCGACTCGAGCGAGAAGCAGCCAGCATGGGCCAGAGTCCTCCCTGACTTGGGAGAACTTGACGAATGTATCGGTACTCTAGGCGGCCGTCTCACAGACCTGGAATTTCTAGCCCGCCGCCTGAAAGCTGGTCAAAGCCCCAAGCAGGCGGTAGAGGAGATCACGGAACAATCCGCTTCCGAAATTCTCAAGTTCTTCCTCCTCCCCGGCAAGACGACCAGCGACGGCGAGCACAAGTGGTCCGTGGAACAGGCCTGGTACCTCGTCAAAGCACTCGCCGGCAACGATTCCCTACGCTACAACGAAGTCCTCCTGCACAACACCTTCGCATCCTCGACCTCCGTACCCGACGGAGAAGCCGCGCTCGAAGGCCTCTCCAACGCCGAGCTCATCACGCTGAAATGGCGCAACGGCCGCCCTGCTCTAGTCGCTCCCGGAAAACCCGTATACGCCGCGGCTTTCCGCCTGCTGGCACGCGACCCCGTCCTAGCCGCGAAAATGGACCTTGCGGTGCTGACAGAGCTCGCCAAAGCCGAGGCCAAGAACATAGATAAGGCGGAGACGGAACTCGCGCTGCTAGGTGCCTTGCCCAAGCAGCCGGCGCAGACGGCGGGACGGACGACGTATTTGCTGGGCAAGATTGACGCTGCGCAGAGGAAGGTCGAGGCGTATGAGAGGGAGATGGGGGTGTTGAAGAAGGTGCTTTGTACTGAGGCTTGATTGATGTTGGTGGTGGGTGGATGGGATGGATAGGTGGTTAGGAGGTAAGGGTGTTGTACATATGGGTAGTAGCATGACATGATTCCAGTCGATACCCAGCTCATTTACTCGGTTAGAGGAGAACAATCGGTATATATAAAATAGCAAATAGCATTATATTGCATTTCACATCTCGCACCGATTTCAACATCTACCTCTCTTACCTGTGCTTAGGTATCTTAGGAACAAGCAAGCACAAATTCTTCCCTTAGTCTACGAGAAGGGGATTTCGTATAGCTAGCTGACTATAGCTATTTATACGCAGGAAAGCATAGATACTAGTTAGTCAAAGGACAATAGTTATATAAAAAAAGAAACTTTTGATTTGGTATCACAGACGCAGCAGCAGCAGCAGCAGCAGCATCCGAGTCCATAACGACCCGGACTCTTCTAATGACTAGGCTAGGGAGCTCATTGCCAACAACCTCGCCTCCTACCATTGCAGGAAAACGCCACGAACGTAAGAAATGCAATCAATGCCCACACACGTACAGGACCTAACAACGCCGTAATGCCGCGGAGGGAGGGAGAGTACATATGTATGTAGCGAGTATGTGATAGGCGGAAACAGAGTATGTAGTAGTAATGACGACGACAGCGACGACGACAGTAACAACGATGCGATGAAATGTCCCCGAAAGACCGCGCACTTGAAGCCAGCCCTCTCCGACCAGCCCGTCCTTTCTATCTCCTAATTCGTAATAACCTACATACCTACCTAGCCTGAAAGCGAGTTAAATATTAAGCAAGGCTAGGCAGATTAGCCTATCTGCGTCTCCTCGACATCTCCGCCCTCGCCCTGGACGAAGACCTCGCAGCCCTGCGCGAAGAAGATGCGTGCGGGCCTGTCGGTGTTATTCGCGATGCTGTAGTGATTTCCTGTAGACAGGGGTTGTTAGCTTCAACTTGAACAGTTGCCGTGAGAGTAGGTGACTTTACCTCTGGGCACAAACCACATCCCTCCCATGCCAATCCTAAACTCCGTCTGCGCCACTGTAACATCGACAGTCCCCTTATGCACAAAAAATACCATCTGCATCTTCCTCGAGTTCTTAGTGCGCTTCTCCGAGCCGGGCGGCATATCCACGATTCCCGACCCGAAGAACGGGAGCGTAAGCGTCTTGGCGAACCGGAACGTCGCGTCCTTGATATCCTTGAGCTGGATGGCCGCTTCGGAGATCGCTAGTTCTTCTTCCGCGACTTCGAGCTGGTCCTCGTCCGCGGGCTCCGTCTCGTACTCGGGCCTCCAGTAAAGGCACTCGCCCGCGATGCGGCCCGGGTCGTACTCCCAGTCGTCGCGCTCCACCTCCTCTTCCTCGGGTATCGCGGATACGCGGCGCCCGGGTCTACCGCGTTGTTTCGAGGGGCGGCCGCGGCGTTTCTTCGTCGGTAAGTCTTCGGTTTCTTCGGTCCGCACGACACCATTGACGACGGGCATTACGAACTTTTGACCTTTGTCTTCGAACACATCTACGCCCTCTCGCACGGTATGCTCCCCCTTCCACCATTTTAGGGGCTGGTATGAAAGCCGGCCCGACCGTGTAGTCCGCATGTTGTCTTCGTCTTCCCGGCGTAGAGCGACCAGGCCGCGACCTTTGGGGAGGGGAGGACCGCGCTGCACGACAGGCTCCTCGACGCCAATTCCAGAAGACTTTCGCTTTCGACCGGGCTTACCCTTTTCCTTTGTCGCAGTTGGCTTCGACGAAGAAACCTTGCTCTCCTTTTCCACAATTCGTTGGCGCTTTGTCTTTCTTTCGTTGGCATTGTCCTCCACCTCCACCTCGTGCTCCTGTTCCTCCTCAACACTACTTTCGGATTGCCTTCCTGACCTACGCTTTTGGGTCTTCTTTGGAGGCTCGTGTTCTTCGACAGGTGATGAAGCCTTCGCGGGCCGTCCTCGTTGCTTCTTTTTGGCGGGTACATCATTGACTTCTTCAGTTCGTGCAGGTGGTGCTTTTGGGACTGATGGCTCTCCCTCTTCTTCTTGGACAACGGGTGATTTTGGCTTACGACCTCTGCGTTTTTTAGGCTGTTCGGGGGATTTTGGTTGCGGGATAGGCTCTTCCTCTTCTTCCTCAATTTCTGGTTCGAGCTCTAAAAGGGGTTCGTCTTGTTCCTCGGTTACGTCTTCTACCTCGTCACCGCCAGCATCAAGCACGTCCATTGGTTCCTCCGGTTCTTCTTCTTCTTCTTCTTCGATATCTTCTTCCTGTGGCTGGTTTCGTCTGCCTCGTGGAATAACCTCATCGTCATCATCGAAATCGTTGGCATGAGCATGGCCGTTAGTGAGCTTCCCGTTCCTAGGTTTCGGTCCGTTCACTCTCGGTTGTGGAAGGGCTGTCTTATTTGAAGAGCGTTTGGAGAAATCTAGCTTGCGATTTACAGATTTAGGAGGATTAGGTTCGCGCGCGGGTATAATGGAACCGCGAGCAGGTGATGAAGTAATACCGAGATGCGGATTTTGGCGCGCTGGTGACTGTAGATGTGTTTTGATAGGGGATCGAGCGCGCGGCAGTGATGGACGAGACTGTCGCTGTTTCATGATAGTAGCTGGTCCCATTTGAGATTCTACAAAGCGTGAATCAGCATGCAAGAACGAGAATCACGTAGAGCGCGGCATACCATCGTCTATTTCCATTTCTTGCTCCTCGTCAGATTCAGCGTTATGCCTTCCATTAGCGCCATTAACGCTGACATTGTTAACATCCTTTTCGGGCGAAGAAAAAAGGGAGTCGACAGCTTCGAAGCCATGTGCGTCGCGCTCGCGCTCTGCTAATGTAAGGCCCGTTTTTCTACTCTATATCAGTCTCAATTTCGCTGGGCCGGAGCGCAGTATGGTGAATACCTTCCAACTACACCGACATCGTAGACCTGTTCATTTTGCGACTGCGTTATGCGCCGCTGCGACTGTGCTTTCGTAGGCATAGCAACGGGGAAGCGCCGTCTACGGCAGTGGGACTTCGGGAAAACTATCAATCGCTCGAGTTTCAAATGTGATGATATATGAGAATGATAGTGGCTAGCAATGAAAGTCGCATTTAAGGTTGAAAACGCGTGAAAAGTATAAAATAGCGATTCCTTGCGGGGAAGGTGGTGATGTTTACTTTCTTTGATGAGGTGCACTTTCCCGTGGCTGCTAGGTGACCCAATTGATTTACTGCACGTCCCTGAAGATAATTATGGGTCGGATTTTTCTAAATATCCACTTTAATTGGCGGCACGGACGCGCTTTCAAGTAAAGACGCGACTATCGGAGGCAGCTTCTTCCACTTAGTCTTTGAATTACTACTAGGTAGTTAGGACCTATTACAATATTTCTAATTGTATTTCTAGTTACGCTCAGGTGTCGATGTACATAATAATATAATATAAAACCACAGAAAAACACCAATCCCTCAAACCTCTACAGCTCTCACCATGGAAGACACCCCAATGGACGACGGCACCGTCGCCCTCGAAACCCCAGCCGACAACGTCTTCGTCCCGCCCTCCATCCACCACGCCGCCACCCTCTCCGGCGAGACCTACACACACTTCTCCGCGGTACCCCCAAGTCTCCTCCCAGAACCCAACACCACCTCCCCCTCCCCCTCTAACCCATCCTCCAACCAACCCTCCCCAACCAGCCCCCCCTGCGTCCTCGGCGTCGACGAAGCCGGCCGCGGCCCCGTCCTCGGGCCCATGGTCTACGGAGTATTCTACCTCCCCGTCGAGCTCTCCGACCCTCTCCTAAAGCAAACGCACCACTTCGACGACTCCAAAGTCCTAACCCCCGCCGTGCGCTCCCACCTCATGCAATCCCTCTGCACGCCCTCCACCGACCTATTCGATTCCTGCGGCTGGGCCGTATCCTGTCTCTCCGCGCGGGACATCGGCGCGAACATGCTGCGCCCCGCCACCAGCGCCGCCTACAACCTCAACGCGCAAGCCTTCGACGCCACCGTGGAGTTGATAAAAGGCGTCTTCGCCCGCGGCGTCAACATCGCCGAGATATACGTCGACACCGTCGGGCCCCCGGCAACCTACCAAGCGAAGCTCGCCCGCGTATTTCCCACGACCAAGATCACCGTCGCCAAGAAGGCAGATAGCTTGTACCCGTGCGTCAGCGCGGCGAGCGTGTGCGCCAAGGTCACGCGTGACGCTGCGCTGGAGGTCTTATACGAGGCTAGGGCCGCGGGAGATGCGGCGAGAGGGGAAGAGGGAGAAGACGGGCAGGAAAGTTGGGGCTCTGGATATCCGTCCGATGCGCGGTGCGTCTCCTGGCTGAGGAGAAACATGCATCCCGTGTTCGGCTGGGGGCCCGAGTGCAGGTTCAGCTGGGGTACGGCGAAGGACATGTTAGAGACGAAAGGCGGCGTAAAAGTCGAGTGGCCAGTAGAGGAAGACGACGAGAATAGTCGACTTACTGATTACTTCGCTGACAGCAGTAAGGAGAAAGATGCCGATGAGCTAGGGTCTTGGTTTGGTACTCCAGCTGGTTTAGAGGCGTTTTGACCTAGAGAAGATTTCGTTATTGCATACCCAACTAAGCATAGGATCACGGCGTTCTGGAAGAGACAAATATTGGATTATCAAAAACTTGTTTGTTCGGATTAGGGATTTGTCCACGAGAAATATATCTTTACTATATCCTGGCCCGCCTAGCCGTCTATGAATAATCAACTGAACTTATTACATATCGTCGTCGTCATCAGTTGCCACACGCGACTTCTTCTTTCCCCGGCTGTCTAACGTGTCCATGCTGATCGAGTCGCTATCCCGACCCGCCATGCCAATTGCCTGTCTCGCAGTCTCATTGTTCTCGACGAACTCTCGGAGACGTTGCTTGCCAATATCCGAGGCCTGGTTCCAGGCAGCGTTGCTCATCTGCATCATAGGGCCTAGGAGATTAAGGCTGTACGAGACGTACAACCCACCGGCAATGATGACCAAGAGTACAAAAAGAACGGGGTTGCGCAGAACTGGTGAGGGTTAGCATAGCAACGGTAACATCGTGTAAAAGTAACTCACCTGTCAGGATCTCGTTCCACCCCAGTGCCAATAGCAGCCCGTAGAAATACAAGGGGACCTGCGTAATCCCACCAATGGCACTTCGCTTAGCTTCCACATACACACCATCGGCAGTCTTCTTGAACCTGACCACCAGATCTTGACGCTTGCTTTCGCTCAAGACAGTCATCTCTTCCTCGAGACTCTTCCCTTCTTCCTCATCAATACCACCAATAGGTGCCAAGTCGTCCTCATCTTCAGGCTCCGCCGCAGGAGGCTGGTTGCCAATAAACTCTGGGAGGTCCGGAGGTGCATATGTTGTGGACAGCCTGAACCTCGACAACAGGGGAATAAGGGTAAGAGTTGATTCTCGAGCACGAGTGTAGATGCCCTCGATGTCATCGGCTGGCCGCCATATGCGCGGGACACCCGCTTCATCGTATCGGAATTTATCCTCGAAGTTTTCGCGAAGCTTTAACAAAATGTTTCCTTCCATTACTTCTTCCTCGATCTTCTCTCGGAGAGCTACCCAACTCTTCCGTCGTAAACGCCATAGTCCGACCTCAACCTCGTCTTCACTCGCCTCAAAGCTCTTAGCCCTGTCTGCGAAGCGGCCCTCGGCTTCCTTGACAACAGAAGTAAAGAGGTTCCAGATACGATCCCAGAGGTCTTTCTCAGAAGGAGGCTTCTCGCCATCTTCAGGGGCTCCAGATCCTCCTCTTCCCGATCCAAGCTTATTGAATTCAAGACCAACCGAATCGCCTAGACGAGATTTGACCCAGCGTTCAACCCGATTCGCCAGTCTTCGCATTTCCTCTTTTCGCAAGCGAGAGCTGACTTCATCAAGTTCTTTCTCGAAGAGAACATATTGAGGCTTGAAGTTGGTCCACGCCACACCCGGGATAAACAAGTCCTGTGCCTCTTTCCTGAATGTGTCCAAAGTTCTAGTCTTCTCTGCATCCACGATCTCAGCAAATTCGTAGGCTCCTCCAGACTTTTGGCCCTGCTTAACGGCACCGGAAACGGCGTCGCTGAAGCTAGTAACGCAGGCTTTGTGGGCGGCAGACAGTTGGCCGTGATACAACGCCTTCAAACGCTGATCGATCTTCCCCTCCAAATCCGCTCGTTTATCCGAGTAAACTTTCTTGTGATATCGGCTAGCCTGCGTCTCGAAAGACTTGACGCATTTCTCCCTAGTTGAGCTGCCAATCTTACCGAGGTCCGGTAGAACGATGGGCCTTCCGCTGCGAGCGGATTCCGCCTGTTGCTCCTCCAGCGGAGTAATAGCTTCATCGAATGCTACGAGGACTTCTCGCGAAATCTCATCGCAGCGGAACTGGGCAAGGAGTTCTTGCTGTGTAGGTAGATCGAGATCCTTATTATGAACAATCTGGTCCCAAATGCCATTTGCATAATGGGAGAATCCATCGGCCGGGATTCTTCGGTGGTATTCGGGTAGGAAGACGCCACCCTCGAGTTCCTGTTCGCTGTGCTCGAGCTGGTTCTTCGAGTTCCGGCTTCCAGTCACAAACCTGCCTCCTAGGTTCTTGACTTCGGCTTCGAACTTATCTGGCTGTAGGATCTTATGAGGGAGCGCAGCAAAGGCGAAGTCGAAGTAATCTTCTATATTCGCCCCCTCCAAACCCGCTGGCTTCGAAATCGAGGACCAAATCTTAGTAAGATCTTGGATTAGGGTATTTCGAAGGTTCGATAGGGGAGTGTGACCAATATGATCACGGATAACGAAGAACAGGAGAGACCTAGGGGTAGATCTAAGTGCATACATATTAGACTTCCATCCGAAACATCAGTTAGGCTTCTCATGAAACTTACTGTTTATCCTTCAAGAACAGTTGGAGGTTGACTTCGAAGACGGTTTTCAACAAGCCCATATTGGCACCTTGATACAAACCAACTTGGTGCTCCCATACGTTGACAATAAGCACTTCGCTAGTTGCAAGCGCAAATAGTGCACTCTTCCTCTCGAAATCTTGGTCCTCGCCTCTCTCTCGGCCGTCAGTACCTTCTACATCCATAACTAGGATATTGTCGGCCATAGAGCCCCTTTTGTTTTTGGACATCCATATTCCCTTGGTGGTTTGGCGTCGTTCCACCTCGGACATTACATTGAACTCGGTACCAAATAGGTAGTTGAGCAAGGTCGATTTACCGGTGGACTGGGATCCGAACACGGATATGAGATGATAGTTGAATCCAGCATCAGCGACATCGGTTGCACGCAAGTAGGCATTGATATTCTCGCTATAGTTTCGTATGTTAGTAGAGTGCAAAGAGGACGGGGGCAGTAATAGTAAGGAAAAGGACAGCTTACTTGAACTCCTTGTCCTCGTCAATAACTTGGATGCCATGCTCGTATTGAGCTTGTGTTGGCTTCTCGCCAACAGAAGAGAAATGACCGTTCATGTCGAGGCTATCGGAACAGTAATCGGAATGAATTATTTACAAGTTTATGGAGCAAAAAGAAGAGTTGCCATCTCCCAGGCCTTAATTAAAGTTGTAGTTCGAGGTAGAGCAATAGGGAGGATCGGTTGTGTAGAAATGACATTTAGAACACAGCAAGGGCATCCTTGTTTAAACCGACCGACCTAAGCTGTGTGGCGGTTCTAATTCGCTGGCTTACTTAAATCGACAGCTGTTATCAAAAGTGACGGGCGCCACTCTGCCACTGTCACATGCACCAATGGAGGGTGATCTGGGTGATGTGACACTGCAACGAAGATAAAATGATGTCAGCTGGCAACCGCACATGTACAAATGCAACTATCCAGCAAGACTAATGCACTAAGTGTACTCGGTTCGTTCAAATACTAAAGTTGTTCATAGGCAGTTTCCATGCTTTCAACATTCGATTTTGATATAGAATGTTAATAATACCGAACGATAGAATGAAAGTCACTCGGTGCAAACATCCCCTAACATACATGCTAATACAAGTTAACAAGGAGGGTTCATTCTCCCAGAAACATATCCCACGCAGTCTTCACATTAGCAGGGCTAAAACACTGCGTTGTCCTATAAAACATGATGCAAAAGGCTAGTTGGAAGCATACCGCTCAAATTCCCCCAATACGATACGGTTATTGGTATAAAATCGTTAGTGTCTCTTTCCACCCGGCCACGTAGATGGCTTTATTTATTAGAACCAAACTTTCGACATCTCCAGAGCCAACAAATAAATCATTATGCAGTATATTAAGACAGCAAGCCAAAGCCGGATTGGATGTCCGTGGGTTTGTATTAGGTTCTGGTTAATCTTTTCTGGCAAATCTTGCCAGAGCCGGGCCGAGCTCAACCTCTTTTTCCTTCTGCTTGTTCTCCCGCTGCTGTAGCTGTTCCTTCCAGAGTTCGTCAACCTTAAGCCTCTTCTCATCAATAATATTCTTGCCTCGTTGCTTTCGCAGATATCTGCGGAGCGCACTATTCTTTCCGCGGGCCCTATTTCTAATTTCTGTCTCGATATCAACGGGTTTCGCATCAAGGTCCTTCTCAGCTTGGCGTTGCTGCTCAGAACGTAGATCAAGGTTTCCAATGAAGTTGGGATCCAGTGCGATCATCTCAGGTTGCAACTTGTTCAATAACGACTTGACTTCGGTCTCTTGTCGTTGCTTAGCCGTCTCAAATGGATTGACTTCCAGAGCATCAAAGTTAGGTTCTCCAGCACCAGGGACAATGATCGACGAAAATCCTTCGTCATGACCCAATCCTAGAATATCTTCGAATGGACACCAACGCACGCGCTCGATGCGCTTACCCTCGCCGCCCCAGGCCATGTATGGGCTCTGGATCTTCTCCTGCTCGGCAGCGTGCTTGGAGTAAAGGCCTTTCCAAATTGTCGTCTTCGTTCCCCATCCTACTGCAGTGAGACCTCGGTCTGATATTGCGATCGACGATGCGGGTTGTCGCGTAAAATAGCTATTGACTTCTTTGAACATCCTTATATCCCAAACTGCCATTTTGCAATCTTGCCCCGCCGATACCATATATCGGCCTTCCCTATCCACGGCCAATGACCGGACGGGGCCTTTATGCGCCAATAGCTTCACTAGTGGTTCGGGTGAGTTTGGAGACCATAATGTAACAGTTCCATTCTGGTGACCAGCATGTAAGACGGCGTTATAGGGGTTTTGTGTAAGAGACACTGGTGCTCCGAGCTTCGTCGGTATTTCCGTCACTAGTTGACCGGTAGATACGTCCTGGTACTTGAGAAAACCCGACATTCCCTAGCCTCGTAGTTAGTATCAATAGAGCCACGGTACGCCAAATTTACTAACCAGGGTTGCCAATAAAAAGTGGTACGGCAGGAATTCCATATGCGTTACTTCTTGGTGTTTCCTTAGGCAATGTACTTCAACTCCCTGACGATCGTATATATAGACATGTTTCTTTTGCGACACGGCGAAAAACTGGTTATTGTGTAGCCACCGCGCATCACGGACCGTTTCTCCAAGTTGTAGCTCACATCCCAACTTGCCTTCGCGCCAATCCATCGTAGCGACATGGCCTCGGCGCCCTGCCAGTAGTAATTCTCGACCAGTTCGGGAATACTCGAAAACGTAGGGTCCAAGTTGGTCAAGTTTCAACTCGAATCGCTTTTTCGCCGACTCGGTGGAGACTTCATCTAATATTTCTTCTTGTCGCACTCTGTACGTCCTCTCTAATTCGTGCTCGGGTTCTAGGAAACCGCTAGTATTCTCGAGAAGTATTTCTGCATCTTTTGCCTTCACTGTAGCCTCCTTATACTTATGCTCGAGAGATTTTAGGTTACTCCGTAGCTTCTTGTCCTTGACGGCTTTGACATTGACTCTGCTCCCTCGGCCATAGTCTCTTTGCGCTTCCTTTAAACGTCGTCGCCTCTCGCGCTCTTCTTTTGGAACAAGTTCCGTTCTAGTTCGCTTAATGACACGCGCGCCATTGTCGTAATCCCTCTTAGGTGGCTTGTTCGCGACTTTCGTTTCGGCTTCCATCTTGGTTTGTAAGGTGGTTGTTAAGAAGAGAAGTATGACTTGTAAACAGTCAGTACTTGGGAGGGTTTGTAGGTCGGCATTTAACGCCAAGCCAAACTTCAAGGCGCAAACCCAAAAATTTCTGAGCAACAGAGACGATAAACCGATAAGAAATGCAGTCCCATAAAAAAGTTGTTATCGGTGGATAAAGTAGCTCGATAAGCGACGATAACTAAACCGCACAGAAAAAAATATTATGATAAGACCCATTCCGGCTGCCGATATCCTCAATTGCCCCTCCGCCCCTCCAACAGTTAAGCCAATATTGGCCCAGTGAGGTTCTTGACGTAGATTTTGATGTTGAAAGGCATTTCTACAGTATAAAACTCTCCAACCTGGCGTCGCTACCATTCCGATTCAAAGCTGGAGGCGACGGGAAAATGCCTTCCGTAGTAGCCACTCATTCTCATCGGCCGACTACGAAAGTCGCGCCCAAGACTTTCAAGTCCAAAAAAGCCACCAAAGGCGCTCTACGAGATCAGGCTAAAGGTGAGATCGCAATGATTTCTAGATGTGCTAAATGACTTTTCTCTTTACTGATACCTTAATTATAAAGGCAAAGTACCCAACGACAAGGGCCAGCGCAAAACTCCCCATCAACAAGTCATGTCTAAGTTCGATCGTCGCAACCAAGCAAAGCAGCGCCAGCTTGCGAAACACAAGGAACACCTAAAAGAAACTTCGGTCTTCTCTGGACGGGATGGTGCGCCAAGAATAGTTGCTGTAGTACCGCTCTGCGCCGACATTGACGTCTCCGCGGCCATCAAAAGTCTTAACAGCAGTCTCGATATCGAGTCCGACGCCTCCGAGTCCAACTTCCGAGTATCCGTCGACAGATTCAAACAAAAGCTTCAATATGTACCAGTCACGAGAGATCTCACTGCGTGCATTGATGCAACAAGAGTCGCAGACTTTGTGCTATTCATATTATCATCAGAGACAGAGGTGGATGCTTTGGGAGAACTTATTATCCGGAGTATCGAGAACCAGGGCATGTCTACATTATTCACAGCCGTCCAGAATCTAGATAAAATCCAACCCGCGAAGGCCCGCCCAGATGTCGTCAAGTCCCTGGTCTCGTTTATGACACATTTCCATCCAGGACAGGAAAAGATATATAACCTCGACTCGAGACAAGAATCCTCGAACCTCATGAGGTCGCTCTGTACAACGACGCCAAAGGGAATCAACTGGAGAGACCAGCGATCGTGGATGCTTGTTGACGATGTCCGGTGGCCGTCAACTGAAAATGAGCTGACAGTATTAACGGGTGTCATTCGTGGAAAAGGTCTCAAGGCCGACCGATTGGTTCATGTGGGAGATTGGGGAACCTTCCAAATTGAGAAGATCACAGCCGCACCGCTTCCCACTAAGAGACGGAAAGATGACGGAATGGCCATAGAGGAAACAGAAACCGAGAACGTCCTAGAGACCCCGGATGAGGACCAAGATGATCTTGCTGAGCTAGCCCCAGAAGAAGCGATGATGGATGACGCAGATATGGAGGAAGAGATAAAAGAACCGACAATCAAAAAGGGTGTATTGCTAGACGATCATCACTACTTCTCTGAGGAGGAGCGGGAGGAGTATGCACAGCCGAAGAAACTACCTAAAGGGACATCATCCTACCAAGCAGCCTGGTACTTAGATGATGTGTCAGATTCTGAGTCGGAAATGGATGATCAAGAAATGGAGGATGCCCAGGATGAGGTTATGCCTGCGGCTCCAGAGGACGGCATGGAGGGTTTGGCCAACGCCGAGCCCACAGAGGCCGCTATGTCGGAGTATCCTCAATCGGAGATGTTTATCGAACCAGACGAGGAGGAGGATGCTGCACAGTTAGAAGCATATCGTTCCAGGAAACGTGATGAGGTAGAGGAAGACAAAGAATTTCCGGATGAGATCGAGTTACATCCGAACGTCCTCGCGAGAGAAAGGTTAGCAAAATACAGAGGATTAAAAAGCTTACGGACGAGTCCTTGGAATACGGAGGAAGATCGTCTATTTCAGCCCGAGGAATGGTCAAGGTTATTACAAATATCAGACTACCAGTCTTCTCGAAACCGCTCAATAAGAGAAGCTCTAGTCGGCGGGGTGGCCCCTGGAACGAGGGTCCACGTTCACCTCAGAAACGTCCCTAGGGACCTGGAGAAGTCATATAACCCTTCGCGGCCAGTCTCGCTCTTCTCACTCCTACGACACGAAAACAAGAAGACTTCATTGAACTTTGACGTCACTCACAAGGAGGATTACGAAAAGTCTATCAAGGCCAAGGAGGAGCTCATCGTTCAGTGCGGCCCTCGACGATTTATCGTCAACCCCCTATTCTCGCTTCCCGGTAACACGGAGAACGACGTACACAAGTACTGCCGGTACCTCCACCCGGGTCAATCTGCTATCGCGACGTTCATGGGTCCTATTACTTGGGGATCTGTGCCGACGTTATTCTTTAAGCGAACAATTTCCGAGGGAGGAGACGGCGAATCAAGTGTTCCTCTGCAATTAGTAGCCACAGGAACAGCTCGTGCGCCTTCCACATCAAGGGTCGTCGCCAAGCGTGTCATATTGACTGGTCACCCCTACCACATCCACAAGAAGGTCGTCACTATCCGATACATGTTCTTCAACCGAGAAGACGTGGAGTGGTTCAAGGCGTTACCCCTATGGACGAGGAGAGGGAGAAGCGGATATATCAAGGAGACTCTTGGTACCCACGGATACTTCAAGGCTAACTTTGACGGAAGGATTAACCCGCAGGATGCGGTTGGTGTCAGTCTATATAAGCGGGTGTGGCCGAGGAACGCCATTCCCTTCACGGGACCTCTCCTGGAAGAGGGAGCGTCGGAAGTGCAGAACGAGGAGGCTATGGACGAGGATGTCCTATAGATACCAGGGTATATGGGTTATAGTGTATGTCTATGTCATCTTCCAGTCACATCGAAGACATACCATAGAGTCTTTAGATCTCAATCGTTCGGACTATCATGAGAGAAATGAGAAACGGTTCCAAATCTAGTACCTATTTGGTTACACATATATTTCTCGTTCAAGTTCAACCCGTCTCAGTGCCACACTTAAAATAGCATAATATGGCTAATAGTGAATCTTTAATTACCTTATATTCAACATAACCTACCTAAACCAACGTCTCCAACCCAGCCGTCGGCTTCGGCCCCCCCTTCGCCTTACACACCTCCTCAGCACCACTAGCCTTCCACGCACTAACAATCAAATTAACAATATGGTCCACACCAACCCCCTTCTTCACCTGCGCAAACACCGTCGGCCCCCCCTCCCTCATCTTCCTAGCATCGCGTTCCATGACGCCCAGATCCGCGCCCACGGCCTCGGCCAAATCCGTCTTGTTCACGACCAACAAGTCGCTCTGGGTGATGCCCGGCCCGCCCTTCCGGGGGATCTTATCGCCGCCGCTGACGTCGATGACGTAGACGATGAAGTCGGCGAGCTCGCGGCTGTAGTTGGCGGCTAGGTTGTCGCCGCCGGACTCGATGAGCAGGAGGTCGGTGGCGAAGGCGCGGTGCAGGTCCTCGAGGGCGGCTAGGTTCGCGGATACGTCCTCGCGGACGGCGGCGTGGGGGCAGCCGCCGGTTTCGATGGCGCGGATGCGAGGGGCGGGGAGGGCAGAGTGCCGCGTGAGGAACTCGGCGTCTTCGCGGGTGAAGATGTCGTTGGTTACGGCTGCGATGGAGTATTGCTGGCGGAGGGCTAGGCAGAGGGCTAGCATTAGGGCGGTTTTGCCGGAGCCGACGGGGCTGGGGGGGTGTTAGTTGTTTTTGTTTATTTTATTTTAAATATGGCATTGGTGATAATATAGGTAGGTAGGTTTAAGTATCGCGTAATTAGACGGGTGTGTATAGATTAGGTAGGTATATGTGTATACAAATATTCCCCTTTTATCTCCTTTAGGGGGGCGGATATGTATATGGGAATACTTAGACTGGACTTACCCTCCGATTCCAACGGTAAAGGCTCTCTCGTTCCAATTACGGCCCTCGATGATGGGCATCTCTCGCCCGAGGAAACTCCCAGGCCCATCGAGGATCTCGTGTGAGTGCCCGTGCTCGGCGACCGAGAAGCCATCGTGGGAATGGTTGGTGGCGCCTCCGTCGTGGGAGTGCAGGTGAGCCGTCGCCATTGCGGGGTTATTAAGGACGTGGTGAGTACGATAAGAAATTTCAGACTACGAAGATAGATACGTTTGTACGATGTAGTAGTATGTTTATGAGTCCTCAACGAAGTTTGCAAAAATAAAATATTCTCTCGACGGTGTTTTTGAAATTTCTCTTTTAGATTTGTTCTATCAAGCCTAGGTAGATTTTGCTTATTACTTACCTACACATACGTATTAGGTATCCAACTTGCTCACCGAGAAGGCGCTACAGCTATACTGCTCCTTCTCTATCCCGCTTTCCGTCTCTCTATCTCTACCTATGTATCTCTCCATTGCGATTATCTTATCTCTGGTGAGGGGCAGAAGATCTACCCCACATTCGACGAGCTAGCTAGGGGCATTGGAGCTGGTTTGTACCTATTTTAGGTGTTTGTTACGTCTGTCTTGGTCTATCGTTCTCGAATTCGTTTGAGTCTAGCAGAGCGAATATTCGTCAGAGAATGTTTCTATATATCTTATAAGTGAAGTTGAAAATTGAGGCTTTCACGATGTCGACGAGCAATGTCTTTACTAACATCTGTTACGTAAATTGATAGATACTGGCCTGTAATTGAGTGCTTGCCAATACTTGCCAAGTAAGAAACCGATGCCCTACAAGCTTGGCTACAAACCGAGGGCCCCCCGTGTGCGGGACCACAATAGCCCGACTTTTAGCAAGGCTTATGTCATCCCCGTATACCTATTATCCCCTTACGTTATTTCTTCCGAAATTTAGCTGCTTATTCCCGTAAGGTTACGTGCTGCTACGCCGGGCTGCGCGGGGGGGGCGCTCGGCCCTCGTTTTGCAAGGGCCTCGCATCCCCCCCTCGCGCGGCCCGGTAGCGGCGGCACGATGCTCTAGTTACTTTAAACTATCCTCTCTTGTGGTCTTTCCTTATTCGTGTAAAAAGAAAAAAGAACGTGTGGGATTTAAACCTGGCTTCCTATAAAATAAACCTAAGTTATATGGTGTTGTCTCGAAAAGGTTTAGTTTTGTACTAAAAACATGTAACCTTTATGTGGCCTTGTATTGGCATATAACCACTTAATATGATTGGTTAAATTTTTAGCATAAACCTAGTATACAGGCCACTTTTTTCCCCAATTTTTTTATCTTTTTTATTAAAAGCTTTATCCTTTTATCGGCTTATTAAAGGTTTTATCAAAAGTTTTATTAAAAGTTTTATTAAAGGTTTTTTTAAAAGTTTTATTAAAAGTTTTATTAAAGGTACGTACCGTTTAAAATATTTACATTAAAATTAATTTAACGTTAATTATATAGCTAAAGCCTTAGCTTTATATTTCAGCCAATAAAAAGCCTAGGATTTAAACGTTAATATAATACACAAACAAATTGCCTAATTAGGAAATACCATTTTGGCCAAACACAACATCCCTTTTAAAAGTCGGGCATATTAGCTTAGCTTCCCTTGGCTACATGTTCCGCAAGCGCCTACTAGTCTGCGATATATATGCGCTTTTTACTTACGGTTTTCCAACAACAACAACCCAATCACCATTCTCCAAAGAATGGAATTTGATCTCGATTGGTCTAGTGGTCAGGATACCTGCTTGTCATCGAACAAGTACGCAGGTGGCCGGGGTTCGATTCCCCGATCGAGAGCATCCTTTTGTCAGTTGAACATCGTGTTTTTTTTTTTTTTTTTTTTTTTTCTTTGCTGCTTCTTACTTTAAACTTGCCTCTGCTGTTAGCCTCAATAGCTCCATGTGGCATAATTATATGAGAGCTTATTTAATATTTTAGATGTCCCGATGTCCTAATATCCAATGTGTAGTCAAACCGCCTATTATTCAACAATACGCGAGCACATCTTTACCATTTTAAGGAAGATCGGGTCTCAATATCGCAATAGTTTCAATCTTAACCCTCGTAGTTCTATACCTTTTCCAGCACCATATATTAATTAGGCCAGTTAATTTGTACCTATCATTCGGTACCATCCGAAAGTTTGAAACCCTAGGGTTCTACCGCTGTCGATCAAAAACTGTCGATCAAAGAGCTGTTGGTCGACGGTTGTCAAAATCTCCGAGCCGCCATTGTACGGCAGGGAACACCACATATTGTCTCGAACCCACCCGAGATCGTGTATCATTCCTGGACCAGCGCCTCACGACTGCTTCTAACCTACCGCAGCCAGTAATCCACATATGGTATCGGTACTGGCCCGAAGAATACGCAATACCCTTGCTGCTTTATACGCCATCCTCGTATTGGGTCGAAGCATAAGCTACGGATTACAGATGCGTGGCTTTGGCGGCTCGAGTACGTAAGGTGTTGAGCAATACGTGCGTCAGCCATGACTGCAATTATCACGCGGTTCAGGCTGCGAGTAGCTGTCGTCCGCCAAAGACTACGTTCGGAATGCAAATAGAATGTCGATATTATCACGAAGGAGGCGTTCCTGGCAGGATCTACTACCTAGGTAGCTTCAGGGAATACGACAAGGATGTCGTATTTACCACAGTGTGATTGTCATTTGCCTCGATCCCTCGTGATAATTACCTTACCTTGGGCACTTACATACTGGTTGGTTAAGGGGATTACCTAACCAGGGGGCAATCTGGGTATGGCTTTAATTCCCTTCGAATTGAATATTAGATGATACCTAAGATCGTCATCTAATATTCGCTCCTCGGTTATCTCTGCAATATCAGCTTCCAAGTGGAAATAGAAGCGCCCAGAGTCTTCGAGAACGATGATTCGCCTACGGATGGATAGCTCAACGATAGCACGTAAGCGCATTTACAGGAGCTACGTTGGTCGAACCAGGTCGTTCAACCGTCTCCATCCTCTCCAGATTTGTATACCTGGCAACGGGCAAGTGGTTGAAGAATCGATAGCAATACATAAGACATAATAAGCATGGGTTACCGATTGGTATCCTTTCTACAGGGTTACATGGCTTTTCCTCGTCAGCTAGTCTACAAGAGGAATTGATGCATCCAGGCCTGCAGGTTTGTTGGTATGGTTTTCTATGTAGCAACCTAGAGTGCCGCCCGGCGAGACTCGACGGCGAGCAAGGACATTGGCGAGGTTCGAGCATATGGAGATATGTATTTGTCTACATACATGGTTAGGTATTCTACCTCTAGTCTCTCGTCTCCTTAGCGGTCGTACCACCAAACCCGTGTCTAATCGGCCTAGATCCCGCAAGGGACGCCAGTGTTCGGGACCACACTCTCAGTACAACAGGAACAAACGCAGGAAACAAAACACCGAAGCCACCACGGGAAGATACAGCTGAGAGAAATGCCGTGCAACTTACATTAGGGAGTATCCGTCATCCTTCGCCCAGCAGAATTTGGAATGAGGACGTTTTCCTATCTCGATACTGGTTCCATTCCGCTCTCTTCCCCTTGGGGAAAACATTGCTAGGATGTGATGCTACATAGGGTATGCTAGGGTACGTGCATGCGAGCTTCGTAGCACGAGCCAACTTGAAATCACAGCGTATTACTTGGAACTGGGGTCGATATGTACGACAAGGGTTATGGACAAGGATCCAACCGCCGTTGTCCCCCCATTCGTCCCCCTTCCCCCATTCGTCTATGTATATGTATCGACCAGGGTGCTCCTAAGGTTCGAAATTCAAATTCATACATACACTACATACAACATACATGCTTACCATGCTCCATATTCCATGCTTTTTAGCAGACCGCCTCTCCTTTGGCTCCCACAAGAGAGCCTGAGGTCGCAGTGCAATCATAGATCCAGAACCGGGTAAATTATGACACCAGAATTGCGTCTCGGCTCTAGAGCCAACATGATTTCCAACGCGCAGATGAAAATCAGGGCAAACAAAGGGAGGTTTAGTGTTTGCTTGGTCTCTTTTTTTTCTTCCTGAGCTAATGTAGCCTCTCTCTCTCTATATATGTACATATTATAGATGTAGATGTAGAGAGGTAGCTACTAACCGTTAGGTAATTAGTGTAATAGCTGACGATACCTGATAGTCAAGTGATGGACCGACCACTGCCGTTCGGTACCGCTCACGCGCCCCTGTATCCATGCTACCTTGGAAATAATAAGAGGCTTCATTCCCTCTTAGCCAAGCCGGCCGGATTCTGCACGCCTCTGCCCCAGATTTCAATAATAAGAGTCGACCTCCCTATTGTGGTAAACGATGGATCGCCTTATCCGTCGTTCCTAGGAACTAATGTAACCTACATATGTATGCATGTGTATGCAGGTATATATTCTTATACTTTCGCTCTATAACCTTCATGTTAGTCGAGAAAAGGTTTATCTACCCCTCGTGAGCTGAGCTGAGCTTCCACCTATAGCTCGTACAGATATACCTAATTATTAGGTCCGCCTTTCAAAGTCTATCGCTACTGTCTTACTTCTAACTCCGGGGGAATCAAGCTCGTGTCTTATGAGACGAGTTATGCATGTCATGAGACGTATGCAGCAGAACTAGTAACTTAAGAAAGGATCAAGAATAATAGTTTCTCCCAATATTTGTTCGCTTCCCGGAAACCCAATACGAACATCCGGCTTATACTTTCGTCATCCGATATTACGAAATTTGATACCCTCATTGTCGGTCTATGGAATATTTTTACAACTATATTCCGTCGAATTCAGCTGGGCAGAGACAGACGGATATAATGCAACTCACAATGGGTCGTTCCGCGAACGATCACCGGGCGTCGATGCCGGCTAGGCAAGCCGTTCCCAAGTCGGATCCATTTAGACCTAGCAGCACGAGACAACAGCGGCATTCTAAGTCGCAACCTTTTGATGCTGATGATTTGCGACGACGACTGTATATAGTTATTGAAGAACAAGAAGCGCAGAAGAAGAGACAAAAGCGAAGACCAGACGAGAGTTACCAGAGTCAAGAGCAGAGTAGATCTATGAGCAGATCAGAGGCGAGACAGACGGATGCTATAAAACCAGGAGCTAGCGAAAAGAGCTTCGCGACACGGATGGCAAAAAGCAAAGTCACGATAGCAGATTCAACAAGAGAGAACGATACCCAGCCACCAAAAATAAAAACCGGCCGGTCAATGTCAAAATCCATCCAAGACAGACTACGGCGCCGACCGTCAGAGGTAGACCCGACAGCGACCGAGAGCGCGGTCAAAGCAACATCATACCAGCACGTGCCCCAAGAAGCCGCCGCGCAATTCGAACGGACGGCAACAGCCAACAGCATGCGGGAGAGGAATCTCGAGCATAGTATATCCCAATCAACACTCAAATACCACGTCGAACGCTGGCCATCATCAGATCAACACGACCTCGACTCCAGCACATCTACCACGCACACATTAGAACGAGTACGAAGCAAACGGGAGCTCTTCCACGACCGGAACCCCTTCCAGACCCCGCAGTGGCACCCAGCCGCCGAAGAAGAACTCTACCCTCACCCTCACCACCAACCGCAACCACAACCACAACATCAACTCCGCCGCCACAGCGCCCCGCTAGTCATGCCCCCGCGCCCCTGGCGCAAAAACAGCATCGGCACCGTCCTCGAGGACAAAGCCATGGACGAGATCTCGTCCGAGGAGACCCTCGTCGTAGACCCCTTATTAACCACCACCACGATAAACGAGCACCGCGTCGACTGGACGCAGTGCGACGAGAAGCCGTCGGTTGAGGCCACTACTACTACTACTACTACTGCGACGGGTGGGGGCAGGATCCCGCTGCTAAGAAAGGCGGATTCCCTCTGGACGCTGAAGAAGCTAGGCGGGTTTAATAGGGGTAGTAGTGTTGCTCGCGAGAAGCAGCAGCAACAACAGCAGCAGCAGCAGCAGCAACATTTGCAGGATGATGGGAGTCCGACGGGTTCGTCGCCGTCGCCGCTGAAGTTTCCGCGGTTTGGGTTTTTGATGAGGTTGAGACGTTAGTTGGTGGTGGTGGCTTCGGCGGCTTCAATGACTATCAATTTACCTAATTCATTTGTTCAATCTGGGGGAGTGGTGATTGTGGTTGGTTGAAGAGACTACACTACCTAAGTTTGTGTGAGATGTATACATGTATAATATCCCGGCTGAAGCTGCGAGGATATGAATGATATCGTGATACCGTGTAATGACAAAAGTATTGATGAGACGAGGGACTGAATTATAGTTGGACTTATTATGAATCTCTCCTCTCCCGACATTGGTTCGTGTAACTATTCTAACCTAGGTACATAGGGTTTATATCATCCTGAGACCTCGTGTGTGGTAGTTGTTGTAGGCTTGATGAGTTTAGTCTACCGTCTCACTCAACAACACAAGACATATAAACTGCAATACACAACACATCCATCACATACGACTATAGGGTGTAGCGGCCGTTACGAAAGTATCGTCAATAATTCACGTAGCTAAGCAAGGTCTCTCTGACTCGTAAACGCTGCATGTTGCGCCATCTACTTTCTTAGCTTGATTTGCATAAGTATCCCCATATCGACTGCAACGATATTGTTCAACAGCGCCCAAATCTGTCGTGAGGTGCTCATATTTGCATCGACATACACCATATTACTCGAGCACTCAACCTTACCGAATGCCATCTCTGTTCCTAAAGCTGAGTTGCCGCCGAGCTCATGTTGAAGACCCTGGAGCTAGAGCTATACCGTCAAAACAATATTATTCATCTGAGAAAGTAGAAAATCATCATCTAGAAGCTCAGATTCTGGTTCCGAGTCCTCCTTAACAGTCTTGCCATCTTCGTCCCAAGCCATATCATGGTCCAGCAGCATAGTCTTACCAGTCAGGACGTCGAACGACTGTGTTTCAAACTGCGGGATTGAATGAGTCAGGATCCTTATGGTTTTAGGGGACGCCATTCGGGTTGCGAGAACTTCTGCCTGTTCCTGTATGTCGGCTATCAGTTGAAGCAGTCCTCCGGCTTGGGAACCGCATCGTTTAGCGTGAGCCGCGGACGTTATCCCCGGTAGGTCGGTAGGCAGATCTAGCACTAGGACGCTCAGATTCTCTAACGAGAGTAAACTTTGCATCGTAGGTAGCGATAGATAATCCTTCGGACTATCGAGGATCCCAGAGGCAATCAGGCTCCACAGGGTCTTCTGAGAAAGTGTGATGCACTTGAAGCACGCAGGAAGAGCGAATTCGAACCATTGGTTGCAAACTGTAAGACGGCCTAAATCCTCGCGGAAGAAATATGAGCCAATTTGATCAAAGATTTGTGTTAGAGTCTCGGGAGGTAATCGTAAAAGCGACATTGTGAAAACCGAGCAACGCGAGCCGTAGAAAGTTGTTGCAGTAGCGACACGTAAATTTGATTTATATTTTGCTCATTACAATTTACCGAGATGATGTCGGGTAGTTACACAAGGTTGATTATGTAAACTCGGGCTATTGTTGTAAACTCGGGCTATGGTGCAAACCCGCGGGGTGGCCTCCCGTATATGGTTTTTGGTGTTTTATTCCATAACACACGCTAAAAGGCTAAAAGTTTGGTGACAGCTCCATGCTTAGGTACTTATTGATATTAACTAGTTGTATTATATATCTCATTACTGGTATCATTTCTAACTATTGTGCCTTGGGTATACGACATACGTTTGCTGCTTCGTATCAAACGCTACTGGAATTGGAAGGGTGGCGATGCAAAAGGGGCTGGCTGGCTGATCAGATGATTGGGTATCAAATACCTTGGGTACTTAGACGAGGCTGTTTCTACCCCGACTTTGAGTAGGATAACAAATTTCTCTTCGTTATCTCATGGCAAACCTAAGCAATTACCAGGCGTACAACTTGACTTGTTGAACAGTCTCGGCCATGGCGGATCCTTTCACAGCTCTTGGAACGGCAAGCAGCATCCTTACCTTCGTCGAGTTCACATGGAAGCTATTTGCCAGCACATACACGATCTACAAATCCGCAACTGGCGAAAACGAAGATACCACGACCCTCTTGACTATTACAAAAGATGTTACCCGTTTTGGAGATGCTATCATCCTGGTACCTGGGTGCGAAGACGATCTACGTGTCCTCGTCGAGGAGGCGCAGAGTATTGCTCGTGATTTACACGAGGCACTGAGCAAACTGAAAGTCCGGGGCACCAACACCGGTTGGAAAAGCTTCAAGGCTGCTTTAAAGGAAGTGTGGCAAGGCAGCCAAGTCAAGACATTCTCTGAAAGACTTTCAAAACTTCAAACTCAGATCATTTTGCATATCCAGATGTTGACTCTGTAAGACTACTAAAAAGTCTCGAGGCAAAGCACAATACTGAACATGACTTAGGAGCCGCGTCTTGGAAAACTCCCACACGATTGCCCAATTTGAAAACACGAATAGAATCCTAGGGGTTGAAATGCAGACCGGATTCCAAGAACTACGCGAGGACGTTATTGCCGCTACAACGAAATTGGTGCCCGAAGATTCGATCTCCCAGCCCATAAAGAAGCATCCCAAAACCCAGGACGCTACCGACATAGTAAACGAAGACCACGTTGGCGAGATATTAGCAAATCTACAAGATCTATCCGTGAAAATCACTCGTCTCTGTGAAGCTGGCGAGAATACCCCGGACCATCAGCGCGTGCTAAAGAGCCTCTACTTTATCGGCATAGGGGCGAGACAGCAGAAGATACCGGATGCACATGCACGGACATTCGCATGGATCTTTGAGGGGAAGCCTCCGGGGTTTATCGACTGGTTGCAACATCCAAGTGGCATATTCTGGATCCAGGGGAAACCAGGTTCAGGAAAGTCTACTCTCATGAAGTTCCTCTCCAGCCACGACGACATAATCCTCCATCTGGAACCGTGGGCGCAGGGCAAAAAGCTCGTAGTCGCCAGTTTCTTTTTCTGGAACGCAGGTTCGCCGCTTCAGAAGTCCCAAGAGGGCCTCTTCCGTTCGCTCTTATTCGAAATATTACGAAGCCGTCCCCATCTCATCCCACGCGTATCTGCATTGCGGATCGAACTGAGGGGCCACTGGGATGACGATTGGTCTTGGACGGTTAATGAATTGTACCACATCTGCTACAAAATCCTTGAAGAATGCACAGATACTAAGTTCTGTTTCTTTCTCGACGGTATGGACGAATATGGAGCAGAAAAGACAGAACTAGGAAATCTTGTCAAAAGCGTCCAGAGTCTCGCTTTCCTCCCTAATATCAAACTGTGCGTTTCGAGTCGACCCTGGTCTGTGTTTGCAGAGGCTTTCGGCCAAAATCCCAAGTTGTCGCTCAAGGTTGAAGACCTTACTCGCGATGATATCCGAATATATGTCTCTGACAAGTTTGAAGGAAATCGTCAATTCGTTGAGCTACGAGATGAGGAACCGACTGCGTTCAACTTTACCGATGAAATTTGCCAGCGAGCCCAGGGCGTATTTCTTTGGGTTTATCTCGTAGTTCGTGACCTCCTCGAAGGATTTACCAACGGCGATTCTCTAGGATTTCTGCGAGACCGACTGGAAAGATTTCCGGAAGACCTCAATGCCTTTTTTCGACACATGATCGGTGACATAGAACCAATTTACCATCGGTCTACAGCGAGGATGTTTGAAATTGCTAGATTAGCAGCGGAGCCTCAGCTCTCAATTGCCTATTCCTTTATTGACGATATCGAGAGCAACCCTAAATTTGCAATTGAATTGCCCGTTGAGCCTATGTCTAAGTCCGAGGTGCAGAAACGGCAAGACATAATGAGACGACGATTGGATGCACGAAGCAAAGGACTACTAGAGTTCATGACCTATAGTTCTTCAGATCGTTTCGGAAACCTTCTGGGAGACCTTCTCGGACGTGTTGACTTTCTTCACCGTACCGTCCGTGAATTCCTTGATCGTCCCGACGGTCTAAACTCATTTCTAACACAGAATCTTGACGATTCGAATATAAGTTCGATGATGTGCAATGCAAATTTAGCAACGTTCAAGCAAATTCCGCGTGAAATTTATTGGGACGACGTCATGGAAAGCCGCATAGTCGAAAATATTATCGACTGGGCTGCGAAAGCGGAATATACTGAAACATCGAAGTCGTTCTTCGAAATCCTCGAGGCTGCAGAGTCTACTTACTACAAACATACTTCGCCTCGTGGTGAAACACCATCCGGTATTGACTTTTTGGGTCTAGTGTGCGAACGAAATATTCCTTCCTATCTCGAGGCAAAACTTAACGGTAGCCTGCCGCGTATTATTACCCACGGATCGACTCCCCCGTTACTATTCATGGCTTTAATATGGGAGGACTCGGCGGACTACCCAGAAGATGGTCATTATATTTGTCCGGGAATGATCAAAATTCTTCTGGATTACGGAGCTGATCCGAACGAGACCTACCATTCCGAAACCATTTGGGTACGCTTTCTCCGTTACCTAGACAGAAGAACCCTCGAAAGATATGATATTAAAAATGCTATTGAAAATGATATTAGATATGTGATTGAGCTTCTCGTAGATCATGGAGCAGACCTTGAAGTACCTACTTCGGAAGTGATCAAAGGCTGGTTCACCGAAGACGAATATGCTGCGCTATTAATAAGAGCCTCACTGCCGATAAGGCGTAAGCCTAGAAAGTCCAAGAGGCGCAAATTGAAATCTACCTTTCGCACTCTGCTACTAAAAATAAGGATATAAGTAGAGGCTGCAGGGGGGGAAGGAGACGCGAACCGAAGGCGGCTAGGCTCATCGTTGCATTTTAAACATATAAATGCATCGACATACCTCGTTCTGAGAACAAGGGGAAGGATAGCCCCAGATGAGAGCATAGACCGATTGTTATACTCAAACTGGAAATTTATGTAGGCACACCAGCTCCTACTTATACCTGTTAGGATTCTAACGTCACTGTTAGCTCTTTTACAAAGCAACAACGTAGGCTTCTCAACCCTAAAGAAAAGGCCTATGCTGTTCGGTCGAATATGACCGCGACAACTGGCATGATGCCCACGGCCTGTGGTGTCATATGAATGAGTGGCTATTTCTAGCCGAGGACGATAGACGCCCGGGCCTTATGGATCATACCGGATGGGAAGAACAGAGGTTAGTATCCCGCGCGGGATGACTTTGCCCCTTATCCCATCTACTGTATGTTGACTTAATAATAGTCTCTCACCATTCGGGATCCTACGGCGGCGGGTTGATGATGTGCGGTGGGGACTAGACGCCTTGTTCAAATATCAGGACCAGTCGCGCCCGCACATTATCTGTGCCATCTCTGATATCCTTCGCTGGTTGACAGCTACCCCTGTCGGCGATACTTTATGGAAGTTTGAGAGTGGCGTCGGGAATAAAGGCTAAGGGGAGTAATGGACTATTTTTTTTTTTATATAGGTGTATTTGGTATGGGTTTATTATGAGTGTATAGGGTTTTGTTAAATGTGTTTTCATATGAAATCGCTGGTATAAGCAAGGCGTTGGGGAAAGGAGGAAAGGGGGAAAACCTGGTTAGATGGCACACAAGCAATTCGTGTAAAGCATGATAATTATCTTAGAATCAACTAGGCAAATCCTCGTTCGTACGAACAATAGCATAATAACTAGGGAAATGAGGCATAGGGGCTTGGAATACGGGAGTTAATTCTCGGATCGAAGGAGGTCCTTAAACGGTAGCCATACTTCCTATAGGCAGCTCAGTACTCGAGGTTAGGCTTATATTATCACATACGTGGGTAATTTTTATTTTCAGTAACTATCTAAGTAGGTACGTTCATTCCCCATCGCCGTCTAAATGGCAATCGTCCAATTCTATGAGCGGTAGAATCCGATCCCCAATAGACATCTTTCTTACACTACGCCACCCTCTTCCACTCAACATAGCGTTCAACGCCAGTACAAGAAGACGCAAGAGCATCATCGAATTCCTCCTGGGCCCCAGGCTGTCCCGGGCATAACTTCAAAGCCGTAGGCCACGCGTCGCCAATCGTATTCTGCTCCTTCATCGCGACATGCAAGTCCTTCTCAATATCCTCGAAATGATTCGCAGCCATGTACCTAGGTAGTTAATCAACAGTCAGTCAGCCAGAGAGTCCTTCAAGCAATTGTTTTCTCAAGAACAACGACATACTCGCGGAAGAACTTATCCGCGTCAAGCGTGAAGCTCCGCGCGTCCCAGATCCGGTACATCTCGGCACCCTGCGGATTGCTCACGAGGCTGATGTCCTGGACATTGGTCAGATATTTCCGGATACGCGCGATATCGAGTTCCTTGCCCCCCCGGTTGCTGCCCTGGACGGTCTCCATCACCGCGTTTAAATACACGGTTATAAGCGTAGCGTGAGGATTTTCCGCCGGCGCCCTAAGAAGGGGCGATAGGCAGCGCAGGGTCTCGCGGGTGCCTAGCCAGCATGTATCTGAGATGTTGGAAGCCTGCCTGGTTAGCCTCGTAGAATGCTGATTTATGCGAAGCGGCATAGGGGATAGGATGAGCTCACCTCGATCCTGTCGTATGAGCCCTCCTCCAACACCAAGCGTTGGATCAGCTCTGTCGCGTTGAGGTTGAAGAGCTCAAAGTGTATTTTTCCAGTCGCAACACGGCGGAGAAAGGCGCTGAAGACGCCGCGGAGATAGGAGAATAGCTTTCCGTATATGTCTTCGGGAATGCGACTTGGTGTTGCTCTGACCTCGCTGAGAGGCCAGCCACCGAGGGGGTCTGCTTTATCGTCCAGAGGCCAGGAGGAAATTGTTTGGAATACTGTCTGGAATAGGGTCCTGGGACGTATTAGACTAGCGATTCTGGAGTTTAATACGGCTGCGTGGATAATAGCTCACGGATTAGGATAGTCAAACCCGATGCGCGGGTGACCAAAAGCCAGGAGTAAGCCGTCCTCTCGATACCGCTGCTTAGCGACGCGCATAGAGGGCGATACATCTTTGAAGTACCATCGATCTCGATAGTCTTCCCGCTCGGGTGCCAAAGTAATGGCCTGGCGTATCTTGCGAGCTTTCTCCAGGGTTAGATCTTCGGGCACGTCAAGGAATTCCATTACCCGAGCCCAGTCTTGCTTCTTTAAGACCAGGAGGAGACTACTGCCTGACTTGAAGGTCCATGTTTTTCCTATTAAGATACCTGGCTGCTTATCGACGGCTCGCTGGCACACGTCGCTTATAAGCGGTTTGACTCTCGACTGCAGCTCAGATAACGTGTCTTTCGTGATGGTGGCCGAGTACCAAACGTGGATAAGCGTTTCTGCTAATCTTTCAAAGTCGATCTGATCGGATTCCTCCTCTAATGAGCTCAATGCCAGAAGCAATATCACAGCGTTCCTTGCCGTGACATCAAAATCCCTGTCGTTGATTGTCATCTTGACCTGGCGCTCAAAATCAGGGGGCAGGTTCCGAATCGTTTGTACAGCGTTCCTCACATCTCCGGATGCTACTCCTCATTAACGTCTCGCTCGGAACCAAATGAAACTACCAGTCAACACGTACCCGCGAACAGGACTTCTACATCCTTATCGTGGGCTGGCCCCTCATTCCGCGGTAACTGGAGCACGTCCATCGCCGGCGTGTTGCCCCAGAAGTGCTTATTCGGCCCAAAGGTGTTATGTAAGTTAGTAGCGGCCTCTCCGCGAGACCAGGCAGGATCTCGTCGTTCTCGGTCCCAAGCCGGGAGCCAGGTGGTTTTTCTTAGTGGAGATTTGCACTCATTCTTGTGCTCACTCCAGTGCTTTACCTGACAATAACGACTGCAGTACTAGACCACCATTAGTATCTGTCTGTAGTGTCTACGAAACTATTTTCACTTACCAAGATTAGCTTACAGCCCCCGCAAACAAGCGTGCCCTCGCGAAAACAGACGCTACCCCCATCCTTCCAGTTGGCACATGGCGTTGGCACCACTGTGGTAGTTGACATTATGTCTTATATGTCCTCGCGACTAGAAGATTCCTACTTGTGCGATCTCGCTTCCTCGAGCAATCGTAGTTTGACAGGGGATTTCGTGGGTGCAGAATCCACGTCCTATTTGTAAATGTAGGCATGGCGATTAATTCTCCAACGCGATGTGCTGTGCCGTAGTAGCTTCTGTACAACGTCGGAGACTTGCATAAACGACTTGTCAGATATACTGTAATAGCATAGCATATACGCTACGACTCATAGCCATCTGTAGGAACGGGCTCCTACTCCTCGGCTCGATTATCGACTGGTCAGCTGGGAATGCGTGGTTTGCTGTCAGCCTCTTGCGCAATGATTATGGATTCCTACCGCATGTAAACGGGCGCCTCTGTACCGTGGCCGTTTCGTCCGATAGGCGAGGAGCGCTTATATCTTGTTGTGACGCTCAACGATACCCGGATAATCACACCTGTTGCTTTTGGCCAATCAGATGTCTTAATAAGAGTTGGGTAATAATAAAAGAGCAACAATGTCGATCTCGATGGGTGAGATACTTGCATTTTCCCATAAAACATAGTGCTTAGTAAAACCTACACCGCACAGTACAGATTGTAGCTTGCCCAAGGATATTTAAAACTACCGTTAGAAGCTTTCTTTTAATTTCTATATCGTGTATAGGATGTACTTAGCTTTCCCTCCGTATAACCTAGTCGAATTTCCAATGAAATGTCAGAGAAGTAAGACGCAAGACTCCTGGAAAAGCTTAAGTGATTAAAAGTAGTAACGCTAGGTCATAAATAGATGAAGAATCTCACGTACCTAAGGTGGTAAAAGCTAGGAGCAGTAACGAGCCAAGGCTTGGTAATCTAGCTGGCCCCCTGAAACTTACACTAGAATAGCGTCTATGCTGAACGTAGGAATACCATTCACATGAAATAAAAGCACACATATAAAGATATTTAGACTATATCTTAATTAAGCCACGGGTAGGGTAAACTATAAAGAAACTCATGCTTCTAAAGCTTTCGTTGGCGGCGTCCCAAAACTGTCACCACAAAACGCAGCTCAAAATAGGGGTTCTAGAACGACCCCTGAATGCCAAACCTAAGTACAGCAAGTATTTCCCCGATCTTGCCCAAGTTACTGGCTTAGAATGGCTTGCCTCTTTACGAGACTCAATTGATTAAATAGCCGTATACCATTTCATATACTGGTGAATATCGCGTCCATTGATGGTATGGTGGAACGCGAGATCGGCCTTTTGAAGAGCAGGTCTAGCCTTAGTTAGATGTAGCTCATACGGGTTGATCAGGTATGGCGAAGAAAAACTTACATAATCCTAGGTTCGTTTTAGTACGAAATATGCGTATCGTATGTTGAAGAGTGAAAATGCAGGGCAGTATGTGCTAGCATCAAGGCAAATCATTGTCAGTTGCCAAGATGTGTTGATTCAGTCGACCCGCAGAGAAACTCGTTAAACGTCGGCCTTTTCGGTGCGTAAAAGTTCCCCGATGGCTCTGGCATTATCTCGAGCGAGCTGCTGTCGAAGATCGGCATCCATATCGGCAGATTCTCGTCTAAAATTCCAGAGTCGGACCAGTTCACAGTACTCCTTAAGGGCGTCTCTATCGCTTCCAGGGGTATCTCGAACCTGGCGGAGCACCTCTATGCCATTCTCGTAGCCCGTTTCCTTTGACCATGGTTGAGCCGCCTTACGGCTACCTTTATTAGAACTAGGGAATGTGCTAGGCTTCCCGTTGTTATCGCCGCCAGTGGCTGGAGGGTCTGTGGCTGCAGCAATATTCCAAAGCAGACGTTCCAAGTTAGGATACTTCTTGGTCAAGACTCTGTACTCTGGCATGTCGGCGATTTCCGAACCCTTGGAGGTGGATTGATGCGTCATAGTTTCGCCGGTAAAATTGTAATTAGGTTGAGACTTAACGTCGTCTCCTGGTACTACAGATAAGGTATCTTTTGATTGCGGTGTAGGGGACTCTACAGGTGGATGATTGTCCCGATGCTCACGGAAACATGAGAGCGAGCACCTATGTACCGAAAGTTAGTAAGCTATACTAACGTCAAATATGAAACTATACTTACGTGTATAGGTTGCAGCGGGCGCATTTGTATTTGCTTTCAGTGCTATCGCAAACTAGGCATAGTGGTCTACCGTTCGCCATGGTTGGGATGAATACCCGAGGTTTGTGTAGGACAGGCGACTCGATGCAGATGTCCGAATAGTACCTAAGTATTGAGAACTTATCAAGGTCGTCCTAATTATTATCTTATTACCGAATATTAGATGAAGGTGAAGAATCTGCGCTTCAGTTGATATGTGATGAAACTGTACCATAGTTAATAACGAAAAATGTTCTGCTAATGCGAATATATTACTTACCGAAGTAGATGATAGATTATTCTCCTGAGTAGGCGTGCTGTATGCTAAAACTTAATTAATATTAGTTAGTTAATATATCTTAGGATTTGTATGAGTTTTTGAATAGCTCTTTATGAGATGTTAGACGTAAACATACCTTTTTCGAAAGGCAACACGTCACGGAAGTTTTTGATACCGCCCTCAATTGCACCGTGCTACCTGTTGCTTATCACAACCGAGGCGGGCAGTTGTATTCTGCTGTGGTTAAATCGCGAATATCTTTGAGAGCAACGAGGGGGTTTCTAGTTGCGCCTAGATCTCTGTGATTCAGGCCGCCTTATAAGACGCCGAATGATTGGCCCAGATAATTCCAATTGTTGTAGTCGAGGACAAACTACGACGACTAAGGGCCTGCCTAACTAGTGATGTTGACTCTTTTCTTCAAGAACACATTCAATGCCTTTGGTTATCACCGAACGGTAAAAGCATTGGTCACTTCCCTCTTCACAAGCGGACAAGTTTCAGACTGTGGCCTCTATGCAACTAGGCTTGAGAGATCGTTGTACTAGCATGGCTGACTGATTAACGCGGTATAGTGGTTGCCTTGTCACTCAAGTCAGTATCAGTGAATCAAATCGCAGAGCTTTAACGCGGCTGAATATAATATAAAAGTTATGAGGCTGAAAGTTCAAGGCGGGTAGGCAGTCAAGGTGTGGCTTAGGATCTACGAAAATGTCCAATAGGTAAGGATGAAATTGGAAACAAACGGTTACTCGATGGCCCGGTATATCTCTGGTAGATAGTCCCGCAAACCAATCAAAACCTGTGCAACAATCGGTTTGTCATCCGTACAATAGCCCACCTAAAATTCGAACAATGCGCTAGTTGCGTCATTGCCACTGATTGATAATCTACGGCTACTCTTATCGGCGTAATTCGGCAAACGTCTACCTACAATTAATCGCGCCTCCGATTTCACCTAATACTAATATTTAGATCTTTGTCTTATACTAGAATATATCAGACGAAAATATTCGCAGTCGCAAATAATTATCTTTACGTGTTATAAAGCCAATTGTCCCCAAAGGCGATCGGAATATCTAAGAGGGCGACTATGCCTTCAAGTCGACTTGTCCGGCCGGCAGCGGCTCTACTGTCCGCGACTACAAGAAAAGTCCGGCCCGCTACTTGCGGCCGGCTCTACGAAGCTGCGCGACATGCGCATACGAGTTCACAGGCGTTGGGTATATCAGCGAGGTCAAGACCAGTACTACAAACAGCCTCGAGGTTACCAACAGTAGCGCCGCGGGGTGTGCGAAGCATTTTCATCCAGACCGAGACCACGCCGAACCCGGATGCGCTGAAGTTTTTACCGAATCACAGGGTGGTGCCTTCGGAAGTTCCTACACCTTTCATCGAGTACCTAAATCCGCGGAGTACGATCGCACCGCCATACCCGTCGCCGCTTGCCGCACAGTTAATGAATATCGACGGGGTGACGTCCGTGTTCTACGGGCCCGACTTCATCACGGTGACGAAGTCACCCGATGCCAACTGGGTACACATCCGGCCGGATATTTTCAGCCTAATCACTGAGGCTATAACGTCGGGGCAAGAAATAGTCACTGTGAGCAATAAAGAGGGTGGAGATAAGGGCCAGGAGGTGGGAGAGGAGGACAGTTTGAGCTATAATGAAAACGATAGTGAAGTCGTGGGTATGATCAAAGAACTACTCGAGACTCGAATAAGACCCGCGATCCAGGAAGATGGCGGAGATATTGAGTTCCGTGGTTTTGAGAATGGGTATGTGAACTTGAAGCTCAGGGGAGCGTGCCGAACTTGCGATTCGAGTACCGTCACTTTGAAGAATGGTATTGAGGGAATGTTAATGCATTATGTGAGTACATCCCTTCCTCGGACCATCTTGCAACTTTCGCGTAGCCCAGTCACTTTGCTTTTTTTTTATCTTTTTTTAAAAAAAAGCATGAGACATGAGATTATTCAACTCGAGCAAGTTGCGAGGGTTGCTGAATAATCCAAAAACCCAATGATCTACGAGCCCCCTTTTCAACCTCAATAAAACTCTAGATGTATGATGCAAACAGTGCTAACAAGACGACAGATCGAGGAGGTCAAAGGTGTACATCAAGTAATGGACCAAGAGGAGGAGATTGCGATTCAGGAATTTGCAAAGTTTGAGGAGAAGCTTCGAGCACAAAAGGGGCCAGATGCAGCACCGACTACACCTGGCAAGGACTCATTGGATTCGGTCCCTGGGTAAAGCCTGAAAGACATGCTTCGTCCGATGTATGATTAGAGCGTCGTCCCAAGTACGTCATCTAGAAGAAATGAAAATACCCTAGTGTTGGTTTTTTTTAGGATGCAACTTCGGTTACCAACCTAGCTACCTAGGTTTTTGTGACAATCTCGTACCTTCAGCAGAGTTTACATCTGCCCGTGAGCCTAGGTGCCACCAGCATCATCAGCATTTCTGCGCGAGGGCTAATGCGGTCACCGGCCTATCGACCTTTTTTTCGCCATCTCTGCGTCGCGAATTAGGTTTTAGCTTTTTCTTTAGGAACCCTATCCGGCTGGGCAATATTAACTTTCACGATTAAGTAGGAAGTTGGCGGTAGGGCGCGGCATTGGCTTGGTGCATACATACATAGGCCAAGACAAGCTCCAGGATCGACCTTCTGCGCTGCTCTGCTCTGCTCTGCCTTTCGAGCCGCATCCCCGTCGTCCAAATCCCGGCGCTAGTGGTTAGGGCAGTTTCGTCGGTTACTCGTAAGTTTTATCCCATGAGGCAAAAAAGGGATGACACTACCAACTACCGGAAGGCGACGGACGCATACATATTGGACCGTGGCGGGTAGCGATTCGCACGGGTGTGGCAATGGGGGGCGAGGTATGGCTGGGGTTGCGTGGGTAACGTCCGCGTACGAAATCTCCCCGCGAGCCATGGCCATGTAGGAGGAGGTAGGAGGAGGTATGTATGCACGATGGGGGCCGGTCGTCTTGTTAGTTAGCTTGGTAGACTATGGGTTGCAGTACGTCTTACCCCGCAAAAGCTCTACCAGAAGATACGTCAAGATGCATGGAATACCGTGGGTCGTCCTTAAGAACGTACGGGTCTGATCTAGTAGAGCATCCTATCCTGAGCGTTATTACCACCTACCTTACCTAATGTGTTACTTTGGGGTCTAACAGTCTAAAGTTAGCGAGCATATCGGGGATCTGGATCATCTTAGATTCTTTTCGTTTAGATTATCCACTATACGCATATGTCATATTTACACTTCACTTACGACATCGAGGCTTCATGCGCCGAGACACGCACTTGGTAACGAGGATACCCTCTTAAAGATAGTAGCATTCAAGAGCCATCGAAGATGCCTTGTGTCTCCATGAAAATGGTGTACCCTCTAGAGTCACGGGGTCATATGTGAGACAAAAAGGGTATGTGGTGTCCAAGATACCCGGGCATATGTATTACGCATAAATGCTAAGTCTAGATGTTGTGTGAGGTCGGCAAGGCAATTCTCTCCGCGGAAAATAAGATGCCATCTCCTCTCTTCTGTAGTCCGGCGGGTTAGCGAATTCAACGTAGTGTCTAATAGAATCATCATTAATGGGGTCGTGTAATTATCTCAGGGTGGTATCGTGTTGCTGATTAGGGAATGACGATAGGTCACAATAAGTTAAAGTTATTCTCATAGCATTAGAGAAAAGACAGCTTTTCGCTAGTTTAAGCCCCTTTAGCGTCTAGGCTCTCCCAGTTGAATGTAGCAATCGGCCGAGAATATGCGTTGAGATGACCACTAGCCGTCGAACAAACACCCCGTATTATGTATATAGGAACTAGAAAAGGCTCTTTAGGTTAAGTTATGGATCTTAGCAAACAAATATAAGTTTATACTAATTAGTTAGTTAATTATAATAATTTGCTGCTGCTTTTCCGGCAAGCTTAGTGAATGACGCGGATTTCAGACCCCGTGCAGGCTCTTAGTTCTCGACTTGCTCTTCTCTATAGCCATACGGACCTTGTAACCAACAACTGCCCGTTCATGGATAGGGTTAGTAAACATGAACTGAAAATCTGGGGTAAAGCCCCTAGGGGTATACATATGTGCGACACCTTTGGGTACGGGTTATTGCGAAGCTTGCGCCACCTCCAAGGTTCGTGCAAACTAATCGTGTGACGACATCGTATATAGGTCGCTAAGGCCAAATGGTGGTATGTGTTGAACACGATACTAAGCTCGAATATCTAACAGGACTTCTAGGGGCTTGAGTATTGTATCGAATAATCCAGCAAGCGTAAATTCTTGGAAGAGCCAACTTCTGATTTAGGCTGAGGCTTGCAGGAAGAAATTGTCAAGAAATATAAAGGGTCACGACCCCTCCACCATCCCCCGGTTCAGGTCGCTTAAAGCATGCAGGAAACTGTGATATCCGCTATGCGTAAGAGGTTGGGAATACAAATAGTTGAAAATTCAAGTTTCCTTGTGTTCAAGTTATGCAGAGGGAGTAATAAACTTGAAGTATGTAATGCGACTCGTAATGCGACTTTGAAATTATTTGCTTGATGTTGACCTTCTTTTGGAGCACACAACACCATCGTACTAGTCTATCGAAGTTTCTGTAAGTCGGATCGCCGAAAGAGGGTGCGGGAATCGTTCGTTGCATCTGCTGGGCGTTGCGAGGAATGGTCCGTTACCCCTCCCCCTGTCGTCTCACAATCGGCTAGCATTAGGAGAGGTTCTACTCACTCACACCTCCACAATGTTTCTAATAACTTACCCAACTATCCTGTACCTTAGGTTTCTAATACTGGTTCTGTTGCTATATTCATACGAAGACCCCGAACGATGAGAAGCCCGTATTTTACCCGCTTCCGAATCCAATGGAGTCTCAGCGAGCTTTCTGATCGTCGAAGAGTTAAGCCAGGTAGTATTAACCCCGGAGTCTAATGCTATGTAAGGTAACAACAGTTTTGACGTGCAGTGCATGCATCAATCAGATATGCAGGAGGGCTGGCGCAACTTTCGTCGGGGTGCCATTCCCCAGATACGTGTAGTGAATGTAGTGAATGTAGTGAAAATGGAAGCTGGCCAAGTCCGGTTAAGACGGCTGCGTCTAACATGGAATAAAGGACTGACTCGCAAGCCTGGAGCTTTCGCGTCCATGCATGGCCTTTGGTACATGTACTCGGTCAGGAGAAGGCCCTATTCGCCGCACCGGGCGAGTTTTTGTCGAGATCTTCAACGGTGGGCTAAGTCGTTAAGAAATGACATCCCAACCCTTGACTCTTGATTGGTGTGGCTTATGCACACCTCTACGGAACAAGACCTTCGGTGTGTATATAGCCTAGTTATCGATAGTTTTGGAAGAGATACTAGAGAAATCCTAACCAATCTGAGTTGCCGTACGTACGGTCTCAATTCCTCGCACGAAGACTGTCCTTGTCATCCGAAGTGGCCGTCCAAAAAAGAAGGCATGTTTCGAAAGGCGGAAGCCAAAAGTCTTTTGGAGAGCAGCAGCTAAGCGCCATCATATGTCATAAATGTACTCTTTGAGCTCTCACCCACGGAGTAAATGTACATATGGATGACAACTTGTCTTATTCTGAACAAGCATATATATCAGTCCGCAGTATAATAAAGAGCTCGACGGAAATATGGATGTGCATCTCACTGGATTTGATATTGGAGAAGATTTCTGTGAAGGACTACGAACATATCAGACTGACATGTTATTGGTTGTCTTCTCGACTCCCCGGAATAGCAAGGATCATTAGCAAACCAGCTCGAGCCAATAGAAGTCTCTTGCTTAACCTCTCTCTCGCACGTTCGATAGCTCAAGATCAATCTTCCCCACACTCTTCGTATGTCCCAAGTTAGAAGTTAGAACCAAGATGCTTGAATCATCGGCATCATCGACTGGATAAGCTTCTTGGATGGGTCTAATTATGATTGCATTATACATAATAAAAGCGTATAATTGGGAAAATGTCAACTCTTGGAAGGATACTGTGTGTGAGGTACGGTGTATAAGCGGCTCGGGCTAAGCCTGATGATCATCCTTTGTGCCCTAAATTAATAAAACCCATCTGTAGGACCCGCTCGTCCCCAGACACCAAATTCCTACGCCCGCCTTTCCTCGATTTGGGAAGGTCAAGTGGGTCCCTCGCTTTGTTATTTCTTGAGAGTATTGAACCTGCCTCCACTGCTCCAGCAGCCCAGGTACAATCTTACAAATAGGTAAGCAGTTGCCTACCTAGGTACATGTAAGTACCTACTTAGAAAAATTAATTTTCTAAAGGCGCACAACCTTACCTAACCTACATGTACCTAGTAAAATACAACATACGAATTCTTTTTTCGAGACCCTTTTTTATTTTTACACATGAACCATATACGGGACAAGCTTATAGACAAGCAAGCTTGCATCGCCGGCCATCCCATCCCTATCCGCTCATCCACCCTCGAAAAATCCACTCTATTACTGCACATACACCTCCTTCGTGCTAAGTTACCACCTTACCAGCTACCTACGTGCATACATACTTACATGTATCTGCCTGCGCACAGCATCGTCAGTTCATGATCGATGTAGCCACCTTTTTCCTACCTGATCATACCTGACCACGTCTGTCCCCTTCTCACTATCTATACCTATTGGGTCGATAAGTTCCCCTCGCACTCAACTGACACATATATTTTGTTTCCGGTTTAATTCTCTCCTCTCATCTCGTTTTATGATTTCAGGTTTATATCCTCTTTCGGCCTATCTTCGCATAGCGCTGAGTTAGGCATAGGCGCTACGAGGTGTACCCTTTTATGATTTGCAGGGAGCTCAGTTACTGCTAAGACACCCCCCAAAGCCTCTGAAGACTGGTGTCTCTCCCGGGATTTAGTGGGGGAGGATTACCGCTACCGTATGTACATACATATGTATCATCCCTGCCCGCTGTTACCAGCCTAACTTTAAAACCCAGCTTCCGTTCCCCACTAGCCACTTTCCTTCATACTTTCCCTCACGCGAGGGTCTCGTGTCGCAACGTTCAACTGCTTGCACGGGTCCTGGATTTGTACTGCTAAACCAATCAGTTACTCCTACGAATTACTTGCCTTAGGTACCATACCTAAAGACCTACCTAAACTACTTCCCTTCCCCGCTCTTCAATTTCAATACCCTCCAACACCCTCCTACGCCCTCGTCCGTCCATCTGCAATTGCCGGTCTACGACAATTACGGCGACAAATCCACATCTCTACGGACCATTTGCGTGTCTTTGCTCAGCAACGGCCTTTGTGCAAACTACTCGTCACCACAGATTTCCCCGAGCCAACGATGCGCTCTTCCGAATAGCTTCGTCGCAAAGCATTCGAGGTCGTACTCATACGCCTACGAACTGACAAATTCGCACGTACGAAATCTTATTTTAGATTGCCCCCCAACACGGCGCCTCTACCTACCGCGAAGACCAAAAAAAAACTTGACAAGAAATCAGCTTGGACTGCATCTGCGACGAAAACTTCTCCGTCCTGTCCATCCTGACAACTCAATTTAGAAATCGAGA